ATGAATCGGCCCTGGCACTGGAAGAGGCAGTCCTTCCTTTCGCTGCCTCCATCTGCTTCCACCGTTTCCCTTGCGGCACGGCTAGCGGTCGTGGGAACCGACTGACTGAAAACAAGCCTTTTCCTCTTTTCTTCTGGCAAGTTAGTTTTGAGCCCAACTGGTTCCTTGATCTGATTCACCACGTGAGATCTAGTTCTGGCCTAAGAGCCGTGCTGGCAATGTTTGGGCAGAGCCCACTTTTTACAGCAAAACCTCTGGCTGGGTTAAACTGATCAGTTGGTACCAGGGCTGAGGGGGGTATCTTTGTGCCCCAGGAACAAAACACTTGAGGCAAACCACCTCTGTGTCATCACCAAAATGAAACCGAGCTCCCACCATATCCCTAAATTGAAAACCATCATCTGCGTAAGAGAAAAGGCAGAATACAGCTCATCGTGATTATTAATGGTGTGTGTTCCCAAGCGCTCTCCTTGGGTGAAGTGTGTTTATTTGCGGGAGGTCATTTCGCTTTGTTTGAGCTCGAGCGTGTGGCTTGCGTGCCCCCACAGCCCCTTGTCGAGAAGGGAGGGTCACAAGATGTCCCTTTGCAGGGCAAACTGGTATTCTCGGTGTAGCCCTCTCTGAATGTGTCACACCACATCATTTGCCCTGGAAGTTTCCATGCAGGTTAAGTTTAGATGCTAAAGTACCTCCAACTCCACCCACTCCAGAAGTTTCTGACATCATTAGTCTAGAAGTTGGGTGGAGTGCTGTGTGTGAGGAATCTGCTATTTAATCAGGTATTATGATATCAGTCAAAAAAACCCAAACACTTATTTCTCTTCAGTGTTCAGAATAAACTTTCACTTTCCCTGTAGCGTCACGTTATGAGTAAACATCAGAGCCCTTAATCCCCCTGTAATTTCATCAGAGAAATGGTATTTTATTAGCCTTTCTGGATGCTGAAGACTGTTAAAATAGTAAAAAACCATTTGAAATTAATAAACTGGAACAAACAGGGGGCCCGGTCTTACCGGCATTTTTAATTTTGTGCCCAAACTTGGAATTGCGTGCTGGTGGCTTGGACCCAGAAAGTCTCCAATTTTTGCACTACAGAAGAATATCCAAGAGGTTCTCTCCTTCAGTAGAAGCCCAGCGGGGCATCTCTGGATTTCGGTGACAAATCTCCGAGATGGGGACAACCCAAACCGGTCGCCCATGTCGCGTGAGCTGCTCGGATTAGCCAGCTCAGGTTGGAAGGAGTTCACGGTTTAGCTTGCGTTGGCATGGTTTTGTGCCCACACCAGGACTATATCAAGCCTCTTCCCATGGTAGTGGATAATGGATTAGAGAATTATTTCAAAGTGAGTTATTTTTTTAAGTTGGGGAAAATCAGCATTTCTTTCAGAAGAGTTGTAAACAGATTTACACAGAAAGGATTTACTGTTTATTTTAGCCCCTTTCAGACTGAGCAGCTAGTGCTCCCCAGGTGTGATTGTAACTCTACGTACTGTTTTTAAAATCCTATTACCAGAATCTTGGTGAGTGGGGTTTTCTTTTTCCCTTGCGTTGGTGATGTTTTTATGGACTTATATTTTTTTTTTTTGGCAGCTTGTCCCATTAATTACTTAGAATTTTAATTATTTTTAAATATTTCTGTCATTTCTATGTGTTTAAGTTGCTAAGCGTTACTTGTGAAAGCTCTCCTTTCTTTTGTGAAAGAGCTGTACTTAGAGACATTCCTTCATATACTCCTGCTTGCATAGATAACTACGGAAAATGCATTTCTGCCAGGTTAAGGCTATTTTTTTTTATTTTTAATTGGATTGGGCCATCCCAGGAACATACCTAGATTGTTGATTGGATTCCAGCTCTTTTGGCTGGACTCATGTGAAGATGGTGAGGTGTGGTACCACACGGCGAGCAGCAGTCAGAAGAGGAAGCTGAGCTCTTGCCAAAACCAGAGTCCTTCTTCCTTTTATTCATGTTGTCGTGTTCGAGCCTTTTTTACAATGTCTGCTCCCGACACCACTGCACCATGTGACTTTTTTTTTACTTCACGTGTGTAATGTCACTGGTGTCAGTAGAGCTGCTTGTGTGGAGCTTGCCCGGGTTGATGGAGTGGCTGGTCCTCTTCTCCACTCCTTTCTGTTCCCAGAGTCTTTCACAGCATTTCTTAACTTTAATAACTTCAGGTTTGTCAGGTTTAACCCTGTCTGTTGTCCTCCTGTAGAGAAGTTGGTGAAATAACACCGAATGACACGACCATCCTCCATACGGCCATACCCCAGGCATTAGTCAGTGTGTTTGTCTGCCTTGGTTTTGTTTGTTTTTAATATTCTTAAACTGTAAGCCAGCATCCGCTCCAGTTAGTGGCTGCTCTCAAATTGACTTCAGAGGGAGCAGATTTAGATGTTCATTAAAAATAACAACATCTTATTTTGTTTGGATCATTGTCTTTTAGGTGGGAATGAAATATGTTTTGAAACTGATGAAAGCTGTGCACTTCTTTATACAAAGATGGAATCTAGCCTCTCTCTTATTTTTTTTAAGCATGTCATCACAAGATGGAGTTGCAGCTGTCTTGTTCTCCTTTTTCGCTCTGCTATGTTCTTCTCATCTGGCTAAAAATAGCCCAAGAGGAATCAGTCTTGACTGAGCACTTCCTCTTTCAAACTACAGATTTTTTTTTTTAATTGTATTAGATCGTTTATAAGAATGTGCAAATGAGGAGCAGTGTTTTTTGCCGTAATACAATGGGCCGTATACAGCAGTTCTGTTTCTTGCAGTTATTGGCACACCACACTTTCCCTGTATCAGGTGGCTAAACAGGTTTATTGGGAATTTGCGAAAGTTTGTAGTATAGGAAATGATGCAATTCGGACACTAGCACGGTTAATTTTCTCCACATCTGCCGTCTTTCGGCATTTACAGAGTTGTCTTAAGCTTTTAAGTCTGCTATTATTTGTTTCTGAGGAGGTGGCTGCTGTGCCTGTGGAAAACACGGCGCGGGACTGGTGCTGCTTTAATCTGTGAGAAGGGAGCCTGGTTGCACAACAGTAAAGCCCTCACTTTTCATTCGGAATCAAAAGCCAGATCCAGATTTTGTGCTTGGCTTCTACCTGCAGCGAGCTGACTTTAAGAGGTTTGAAATGTGACTACCCCCTGGGCTCTCTGGCCAGATCCGTGTTGTCACCCATGGCCAATACAACATGTGAACGTAAGCCTTGACGCCGGAGTGTCCTTGGGAGCGAAGTGCCTGGCTGGCCGTGATGTTGGAGCGTGGGTTAGAATCGCCTGAGCTGCTGGGAGTAAAGTAGTGTTGCTCTGCTGCTTATCCCTTCTGCAAGGGACTTTTTTTTATTCTCTAAGTCAGGCTGTTTCAGTTGGGCTGCAGAGTCTGCCAAAGCTGAGTTAGGCTGAAGAGCTGCATGTGTCAAACCTGTTTTCTGAAGGCCCTATTTTATTAAGTTAGGAGGTCAGCCAGTGAAGTACCTTAAATTATAAAACTTCGCTCTGCGTACCAGGTAATACAGTCAGCCACCAACAAGCAAAGTGTGCACTGGCAGAACTCCCCTGGGCACCAGCGTTTCTGAAGTTACGTATGTAGTTGCCGCTCCAGTTTTTGTACTCGCTGATGTATTTGTCTCAAAATGTTGCAGATCCTGGATTTGTAAAAAGGGAAAGGTGATTTGATTTCTTTTTGCAGTAGAGACCAGGAGAAACTGAGCTATTCAGAGCACAAGAAAGACTAAAAATGCCAGTGGAAAGTATTCTGAGCTCAGCGCGCTTGTTATTTCACACTATCAAAAGGTGAAAGGAAGAAATCATTCAAGTGGGCACTGTGGAATCCCACTCACGGCAGGGTGGAGACCAACCCAGTCATAAATGTTAAAGGTCAGAGCATTGCAATCTAATCAGTACAGTGCGATCCCCAGACTTCTTATCGCAGGCACGTTTGATCTTTTATTCTTGCAAGAGGCCTTTGAAAGGGCAGGGGAAGGAGTGAACCTGAGGGGTGGTGATCTGTTGACTTGGCACATATTCACTGTAGGTAACCTTTAAATGGTTTTAATTATCACTACTTCTACTTAAATTAAATGAAATCAGGTTCTCGTTTTGCTAGCACTGAATGTCAACGTAATAGTTAATGTCAGACCTTAAAGGAAGGGATCGAATCCAGAGAGGGCTGGTTCTCCCAGAACCGCCCGTTAAGCTAGGGGTATGTGAAACGTTAAGTGATGATATCCCAGGTCCTGTGTCTTGAAATTAAAATAAGTCAAAGTGAACAAAACTGAAATGCTGAGCTTGGGTTACGCGTTACTGTGTTTTACACTGGGAGGAACAGGTAAGGAAACAGATCCTTTCCAGCAAGGGTTTGCTTCTTTTATTAGGGAATTACATCATAATGACACCGCTAATCGCCATTCTCAAAGGTACTGATGTGACACAGATGTTGATGGGAGGGGGGAGATGGTTTGTCTTGTTTCAGCTTTATTCTTGCCCCCAAAAATGCCTTCTGATCATTTTTCCGTCTCCATTTCTAGAAGAAAATGATACCGTACAGCAGAAGTCTCTCGGTGTTGCTGAAAATCTTTGGCTACATCCTAGGACTTACTTGTATTGAAAGATTTCTCTTAGGCAGCGGTGTTCATTTTGTAAACTTTATCATGCGCAAACGAGAGAGGGAAACATGTCCAGGGAATGGCTTTCGAACTATAGATAGATGAAACTGGTCTGGAAGGCAAGGTGAGGAAACCAGACACAAGAAACAGCTGGAGAACTAGGACAGTTTAGCCTTGTTCAATGAAGGGAAAGCGTTGAAGGCTTCTGTGTCGTTTATTGTGGATGAGGCGTGCGTTCGTGCAGCCCCTGTAAAGCTAGCAGGGACTGCGGGTGTGTTTCATCTGCCTTGGCAACACCATCTCTTTTACTGGTGGAGATTCATCCCCAATTTGTTAAAGAATTACTGCTGGTTTTGATGACTAATCCTCAGTCTTGTCTTCTTTTCTGCTGTTCAGTGCCTGAAGAACAGCTGCACAACATTGATGAGTACGATCTCAATGTCGTCCGCCTCTGCTTCCAAGCTTTCCTCCCCGACGAACATGGCAACTACACGATAGCCCTTCCTCCTTTGATTTCCAACCCAATCTATGACAACAGTAAGTACCAACTTGTTCCAACGTGGTTTTTTTTTTTTCTTTCTTTTTTTTCCTTTTATTTTTCTCTTTTGCTTGGGATAAAAAATGCCAGGCCTGGTTTCTGAGGTCTGTGCCACTCTTCTGGGTTGCTTCTGTGGCTTGGGACTGCTAGATGCACATCTAACCCCTGGCAAGTCAGGGAGCCTATACTCAAAAGATGATCCCAAGGTGAAGTGTTGGCCGATGAGCATAAGAATTATCTGTCGCATCTACGGACTCGCGCCCAGGTGCTTTTTGTTCACATATCACAGCAACGATGGCCCGCTCCTGACGTGCCAAGCGATTAAAATAGATAGTGGCAAGATGGATGGCTGCCGTAAGACAGATCTGTTTTCCAAGGATGTCCTGTAAAGCCTGTTTGTGCCCATGCTGTGCCTTTTCCTTGTGAGGGCTCTGGAACAGGATTCGAGAGAGATTTGTCCCAGTGGGAAACAGTCTTAACACTTTTATGTAGCCCTTCTGTATCCTGGTCGGTTGCTGGTTTCAGCGTGTAGGTAGGTAACGGGGAAGTGTTTGACCATGTTCTGGGAAGGCTCAGAGTGAAACTCCCCTTCTTGGCACTGTTGCCCACATTCCACCAAGCTGGACCTCAGCAGGTCACTGCAGCCAAGGATTTTAGCCTTCAATGTGCACTGGACTTCTCTCCTGGAGAGAAGAAGAGCTTTTAATAATTGGAAACTTTTTGATAGTGTTTTTCTTCATTTCTGCAGTGAAAGTATTTCCATGCTAAATAGTTAAGGTCATTACTTTAGCAGAAACTACTGAATAAAATGAGGTCTGCGTTTTGTAAAATTGATGTTAGGATTGTGTTGATGTGGGCATAACCATTCTGAAAATGTTCTGAATATGAACTCGGGTGGTTTGGTATTTTTAGAGTCTCTTCTGGAATTACCTAGAAGTTAGAGCTGTGCGTATTGTGTTATTGAGAACCTTTGTTGCAGTAAAGCAATTAGGGTTGAGATAAAATTGATGTACGAGATTTGCAGCTCTGTCTCAGATGCCATTTAGAAATGTGCCAAATCATGATTACTCGTCTGCGTTGATTGACGTCAGTCTTTGCTAAGCTCCTGAAATGACAGATAGCCGTGTGGTGGGGGAAGCTTGGTTTTTGAGTGTGGGTGTATGTGGGCAGCTTCTGATACACTATAGGTATCTAAAATCCTCCATGTAACATAGCAGCGGTGTAAATAAAACAGTGCAGCCACAAATCGTAAGGATTATGCTGCTCTTGTCTGGAACAGCAGTTTCAGATCTGAATTTCTTTTTAAAACGTTAGCCTTCTTAAACCTGCTCTCTCATACAGGACTGGGTGAGGTCAGGTTATAACTTCAGGTAAAACTGTACGGCACAGCAGGCTTGGAAGTCTTAGGTTGTTGGATTTCAAGCCTTCGTGGATCTGTCCAGATGAGGAGCAAAAAGGTACTCGGAGCTTTTTTGAAAATTAGCTTGCACATTTTAAATCTAATGTTTTTTTCACTTTCTAATACTTCATAGTCTCCACCTGCTTTGGGTAGTGGAGCCACATAAGAATAATTTGAGCGTAATATAGAGGCAATTGCATTAGCAGAGACTGCAAGTGTATAAGAGTCGGTATTACAGGCAGCTTCTGTTTTCACCTGCCTAGAACATTAACTGGGTTTGAACAGAAATTTCCCGAGTTGCGTATCTGACCACACAGAAGGCTCTTGGGAAGAGCCAGCTTAAAGCCGCTTACAGTTTCTGAGAAAGCAGGTTAGGGAGAATGTGGTGTTCTGCCCTTGCTGAAAGTGACGTGATTTTTGGTGAGAAGCATGTTTTCCTAGGGATTTGTGACCAGATGCGCGCTTTTGGGGAGCGAGGAAGGGGAATTGGGCAGGAGGCGAGGCGAGGACGTGCACAGGGGAAGAGAGGTGGGCAGCAGCATGGCAGTACAAAGGCCATGGAGACCATCTCCCTCTGAGGCTGCTCCCAAGCTCGGTGTTCCTGCCCGGCACCGGCGCTGACAACAGAGAGTGGCATTCGTGTTTCTTTCCTTTATCCTCCCTTCTAAACTCCCCTTAAAATAATAAAAAGACAAAACCAGTGAACTGCAGCCTAGGAGACCTTCCCAAAAGCCTGCTGAAAGGACACCGAGTACCATTTGAGCGTACAGAAGTGAAACAAAGGTAAAATTAGGCTTCTTGCAACTCTTAATTTACCCTTCCCGTGAAAATCGCACAATGACACTGTCAATCATATGACCCTGCGCTGTTTCTGGGCTTGTTTTGTTTCCCCTCCCTTCAGAGTTTCTGATTCATTCAGCAAATGAAGCCGCATGTGTCATGTAGTAAATGAGGCTGTGGCACCCGCTGCTCCTAATGATAGCGATAGCTGCAGATAGTAACTATGTAATTGGGGTCTGGCCTGAGGTTACCAGGAGCTCTGTTTTAAGCGGAGTCTGTGTTGTGCGACAGCGTACCTGTGTGGTATGGTGAAAAGATTGGGTGGGAATTGACTCAAACTGAGAGTCTAAAGTCAATTTGATTTTTTTTTTTTTTTTTTTTTTTTAATTGAGGGTGACACCACGAGCTTTGGGTTTTTATTTCATCTCTGTGCCTGGAGCAGGGAGCCCAGGGTGGTGGAACCTCATGTCATGGTGGTGGTAGGAGGATCGGTTTCTGGGTCACCAAGCAGCACCAGCCAGATCCTCCCAGGCGTTTTAAATACATTTGGAGTTGATGTCTTGACGTAAGAAGATGAGAGAGCATCGTGGCACAGTGTAATTTTGTTCTGTTGGGATTGGAGGGGTGGAAGAGGGTGCAGTAAACTACGAGTGTGGTTACGGACAGTAGCAGAAAAATGAGCATCAGCTGCTCCGTATGCTAAATGAAGACGGGGTCTTAAAATTGGCATGTGCTCAGGTACTTACAAGTATCCACACAGCACAGAGGCACAGTGGGTGAACTTGAAATTCTAGAGGGAGTTCTTCCAGTCTGGCTTTTTTTTGTTTGTTTGCTCTTTGTTCCTTCTGAATCACTATTTTGTGACATTAGTGCCCATTTAAAGAGATGGTAACGTAGTCCACAAAGCTCCAAGGGGGCTGTTCTTTCTTGCAGTAGTCTCCTGTCCCTCTTCACCTTGCAGGAAAGCTGCTGCTACCGAATGGGGACAGGCACTGTCAGGCAGGGTTTGTCTCTGTCCCCCATGATTCCCCTGTAGCCATCGGGTTGTTTGGATGCAGCTTGGGCAGTGGTGAACTTATCGCGACATGCACATGCTTGTGCACAGGGCAGCTCTCCAGCCGCGACTGTCACAAGCGCTGTCCGTGTACAGCCATAGCTTGGAGTTGAATTTTGAGCATTTTGGGGGTGAAAACTGCTACCCTGAGTAAAGGCGTGAAAGTTAGGACTCCCAGACCTGTTCTCAAACACCTAGAGAGGGTAACAGAAGAGAGGTTTGATTGCCAAGCACGTCTGATGCTCAGAAAGGGGAATTTTCTTGACTTGCTGGCCCAGCTTTTTCCAGAGAAAGATGACTGTAACAGGTAATGAGTCCCTCAGAGAGCTGCTTTGAATTCTACAGCTTGAAGGGCAGCAGCGCCCAGCGCAGTAACGTCATTTGGGGAAGTATTTTGAGACTACTCTAGAACAGCTGGGAGTAAGTGGCACAGCCACGCTGGTGTCTTGTGCATGGAGACGGGCGGCTGAGGGCTGTGGGATCACGGAACATCGAGCCCTGCTTCTAAATTTCCCCTACGGAGCGACTTGTTTAGAGTGGATTTCTGGGTGTGTCACGCTCCTACAGCTCTTGCCTTCCCTTCGCCTGCCTTAGCTCCCAGAACCTCATCTTCAACAGTGACAAAGTTGCAGTAATTCTTTTATCATCAAAAAGTGCCCGTTTGTTTCCAGGAGCTCCCAACACAGCAGAATTAAGAATTTGTCGCGTGAACAAGAACTGCGGAAGCGTAAAAGGAGGAGACGAAATATTTCTACTGTGTGACAAGGTTCAAAAAGGTAATCCTGATGAGGTTTTTCTTTCCCCCACCTTTGTTCCAAACGTCTGACGCTTCCGCTTCCTAGCTGGGAATCCAAGCCCTTCGCCACACTCCCATGTAAGTGGTCTGGTTTTACAGCTGGGCAGAATAGCTTTCAGATTCAAGGGCTCTCCGCACCTCTGAAAGACAGTGCCTTTAAAGTCTTCTGAGTCAGACTCCTTTCTTTCTTCCCCTTCCCCCTTTTTTTCTGCTGCAAGCTCTCCATTTGCAGCGTAACAAGCATCTTCTGTTTCTAATGGACTAGATGATATCGAAGTCAGATTTGTCTTGGACAACTGGGAAGCCAAAGGTTCCTTCTCACAAGCCGATGTTCACCGTCAAGTTGCAATCGTGTTCAGAACGCCACCGTTTCTCAAAGACATCACCGAGCCCGTCACGGTGAAGATGCAGCTGCGAAGACCTTCAGACCAGGAAGTCAGCGAACCTATGGATTTCAGATACCTACCAGATGAAAAGGGTATGGTTCCAATTAGTTGAGTTTCAGAAAAGCCATTCTCGCTGCAGAACTCGTGTTGATAATAAACAGTAGCTTAATGAGCAAAAGAATCTACAACGCTACTTCTACAAAAGTAGAGGTTTGGGTTTTAAAAGTAACAAGTGTCCGTTTGCTCCCTCTTTCAATGAAGTGTCAAGAATCACTGTTAATAACATTGTCTTGGTTAGTCATGCCTGAAATATTTTTCTTTAAATCTATTTTACTACAATCAGGGGCCACTAGTATAAATTTTAGAAAGTTCCTTTACTACTTGTATCAAAGAGAAACTTACCTGCTTTTTCTCTCTCCTCCTTTCTCTGTAGATCCATATGGCAACAAAGCAAAAAGGCAGAGATCAACGTTGGCTTGGCAAAAGCTCATACAGGACTGTGGTAAGGAAAATATTTGTCTTTTTCTTGTTTGAGTGAACTTGCATTTAGATGGAGTTATTTTCTGTAAAAGCAAATGCTCAGCGTAGACTCACGGGTTCTCCCATTGCAGGATCAAACGCGACAGAGAGGCCCAAAGCAGCTCCGTTCCCCACTGTCACCTTTCCTGAAGGGAAGCCGATTAAGAAAGGTAGGTTTTGGCACGCGCCTCCCAATCCAACAGTGGTTTGAAACAAATGGTGCCTGACTGCTGTGGGGAAGGGCGTGTTTCAGGGGGGCACCGGAGTTCCCAAGGCAGCAGTAGTAGCCGCCTCTTACTTTCCCTCCTCCTCTTCCTCCTCCAGCTTCTCAAAGCCTCAGCCATCCTGTGACTTTCCCTTTGCACAGGAGGGAGCTACACCTTCTCCATCTTGAAGCATTGTTAGCGCTCAGCCTTAATTTCCGTAACAACCAATCTTCTCTGTGTTCAGACACTCCACCTTTCAAATGCACACTCAGTTCCTGGCCTTCCCTCCTCTTTGCCTGAAATTCTAAGTCTTTTGAGGGTTTCTTCCTGTAAGATAGCAGTATTTTACCTGTACAAACTAAAACCATCAGGTCTTCAGTGTAGCTGTCGCCTTCAGCGTTTGCCATAGAGGGGCGAGGTGGATAGGTGCCTCGCTGCCATCCAGAAATCTGGGGGCCACCCCGGAGAGTGGCTAAGCAAGTACGAAAGTGCGAAGGCACATGCAGTCTTACTAAGAGAGCACTGGTTTTTCTTTGCTTTTTACCATTTGTGATTTTAAATAAATAAATAATGAGAACAGTCAACCACTGGAATACTCTCCTCAGGGAAGTGGTTGACTCCGCCACACTGGATGCTTTTAAGCCTCAGCTGGACAGGGTGCTGGGCTGTCTTGTCTAGACTGGGCTCTTACCTAGAAAGGTTGGACCAGATGATCTTTGAGGTCCCTTCCAACCTGGGATTCTATGACTGATACTACAAGATAAAAAATGGCATTAAAACGCAGTCACGTCTTTCCTTTTTCACAGAACCAAATGTGTTTCCATCCACGCTGATGATGCCGGGGCTAGGAGCCCTAGCCAACACTAGCCAGAACTACACTGTCTGCAACCAGCTTCCCCATCAGCCCGCACAGGTGGGGCCGGGGAAGCAAGACCCCCTCTCCTCATGCTGGCAGCTGTACAGCACCCCCTCGTCAGCCAGCAGCCTGCTCAACACGCACCCCCAGAACAGCTTTGCGGCAGACGTGTCGCAGACTGCTGCTCCGGGCAGCAGCACGCTCTCATCGTTCCACGACACCCCTCTGAACTGGCCTGACGAGAAGGATTCGGGCTTCTACCAGAATTTTGGCAGCACGAATGGGATGGGCGCAGCAGCGGGGCCGACTGTAGACATGCAGAGTGTTTCTAGTAACAGCATCACGCACCAAGCTCCTGCCAGCACCTCCGCAGCTGGCATCGTCAACATGGAGACGGATGACATGAACTGCACTAGTATAAACTTCAAAAAGTATAATCCGGTGTTAAATGCAACCAATCACAGGCAGCAGCTCCATCAGGTGCCTCCAGCTTGCCCGTCGGTAGCAGCCCCGGGCAGCACGCCTTTTAATTCCCAGTCTAGCTTTGCCAATCCAGCAGTTTTTGGTTTTCTAGACCAAGAAAGTTTAAGTGAATCAAGACTACCCACCAACCCCATCCCAAACCATCAGAATAGCATTGCAGATAACCAGTACTATGACACTGATGGTGTCCACACCGATGATCTCTATCAGTCTTTCCAATTTGATAGCATATTACAAAGCTATAACCATTGAGCCAGCAGCGTCGGGCTGGATGCGGGTACGTAGAGCTTTTCAGCTGGCTGGCTGGATGAAGAGGAGTAACTTGCCCTTCTGGAGTCCCTGCTTTCTCTTTCAGAATGTTACTATGCAAGTTTCACGATATAACTTAAGGTTATATATTAACAGCCCAAAGACTGGTGCCCGTAAAGGAGAGGTGGGAGTAGGGTTTGGGATTCTGTACCTTCAAAGTACCTTGTACACATATTTTTACGCTGTTGGAAAAGGGAACTGTTAACACTTAAATCTTCCTTACCTTTGGGGACTGTAAAAGCTGGCATCTTCAGAAGGGTTAAAATTTCACAGACTTCACAGTGTTAGAAATGTTTGAAAAATAACCATTTTTGCTATGGAAATTAAATGTAAATGTTGATAGGACAGAAGTTAGGGGGAAAAAAACCCAAACAAACCTGCACGTGGGCACTCTAGTTCAGACTCGCTAACAATGTTAAAGTTTGACTTCACTTACTTGAAAGGTTTAGGTTTCTTAGCCTCCTTCATATAAAATATTCTTCTCCTAAAACAAGACCATGCATTGATTTTTCACATTTTTCACCTCACTCCATTTGCTTCGAAGGCAAATTTACTCTAAAATTTTTTTAATGACTATGTCATTGTTAGATATATTTTAAAAGACCGGAAGGTTTGAGTTTTTTTTAAGTAGTCCAGCTCTGTTGTAAATGACTCACTGCACAAAAGCACGAACAGTACCTAAGGACTTTGCTGCACTTCATCCAAAGTGCACTCTTTTTTTAAAAGCCATAGCCCTGTTTCTTTAGGAATGGAGCTTGCTCTTACTTCTCCAGAAGTGTTTTGTGTGTGTGTGTGTGTGCGCGTGTGTGTAGCTGTGACGTCTATGTTGTTTCGAGCTGCAGAAATACATTGACCCAAAGCGTCTCCCTGTTCTCAGGTATCCCAGCAGTTTCCTGCTATGCAAGTGACTGCTTAAAAGGTGGCGCTCAGATCCTGCCTCCCCACCACCCCCTCCCAAAAAACGCTTTGGGGCAAAGCTGGAGGCAGGCTTAGTCATCTAGATGCACTCTATTAATGACTTAAGGCCATTTCAGTCAGTACTAATTAAAAACACTCCTCTCTGCTCTGTATCAGAAACCAGAACTCCTTCCCTTCCGCTTCCTTCCCAGACTTCATTCTTAGCCCGAGTTGCGAGATGTTCAGTGACAACTCGCATGGGTGGAACTAGCTAGGTAAGACACTCTGCATTATAGGGCTTTGCTATTTTATTATTATTATTATTACTACTACTACTATTTTTTAAGAAGCAATACAGCAGGAAATAGATGAGTATTTCTTAAGTTATATGGCTGTTTTGTATGGCAGATAAGGCTTAAGAATCTTACTTGTTACTGTTTGGCAACTTAAAACTGCACCATGGAAAGAAGCCATTAAAAAAAGCATACTCTGATAAAATAAAAACCAAAAAACACAACCCCAAATCAGAAAAGCCACTCAAGAGAGAGAGTTGTATGCCAGGCAGAAAGGAACTCCAAAAAAAAGCCCTCTGTGGTTTATAGGCAAGCAACGACTCCTTAACTGCAGCCGTTCCTTGCATTGGAAGCAAGAAGGTGCTGCTGCTGTAATGCATTACACAGTTACATGCGTTTAACACAATACCCGCCTTAGCTGATGTGTAGGATATATGAGGTTTGGAGAACTGCTTCCCCCAACTGCAGGTGCACAACTCTCCACGTTTTTAAAGCAGTTTTTCCTCACTTCAGCATAGATCCTCTGCAGTCTTAAGTAATGGCAAGACCAAAGACAGACGAAGAAAGCTTGAAATGTGTTGTTTATTCAGTTTTTTTTTTTGAAGTTCTCAATTTTAAGTATTGAAATGTAAACATTTTATTCCGTAGAAAGCTCTTCATAGTACAACTTGTTTTTAGTGTATAATTAAATTTTTTCAAAGTTCTGTTTTCCTTTGTAAATGAGTTGGTTTGGTAATTAAAAAAAAACCCCCTGGTTATACTAAGTACTTGGCTTCTGCAGCCTTCTCAGAGTCCTTGCCGCGGGAAAGCCAGAGAAATGGGAGAAGGTAGGTTCTGGGTTGCTTATCCTGGGGCTTTTCAGAGGATATTCTGCTCACGGTTACTGCTGGCCACCACATGACCTGAACACAAGGATTCATCTGCACTCGGCAACTTTTTTTTTGTGGTGCAGCAATTGACATTTTAGTTGGAGGAGTGGAGGGCAGATGCTTTGATGCTCAGCTAGAGTTGTGCTTACTGCTGCAGCTTGCTCCAGCTGAGCTGATGCCAAATAAAAATGGGGAGGGGGGAGGGGACATTGTATGCAGCCAGTTGTCTGGGGAAATACAAGGGCTTGGAGTCCTTCCAGTGCAAAGGAGGGTGGTGCTAAGCAACACTGGACCTCATTTTTTTTTTCCTCGTATTTCTCACACCGTGCTAGAAAATCTCTACCTCTCTCACACATGCCTCATGAACAAGATTAAATCTTATGTTCACAAAACATCCTGTTTGAATAGTCACAAGTAGGTATTTTTAAAAGGAAGATGAAGGCCGAGGTACAACCATAGTATTATTGCTGCAATATTCATTACAAGTAAGGCTAGTTCAAAGTGTTTACCTTGTATTAGAAACTGCAGACTTCAAACGAAGTTTAAAAAAACCCCGATCACAGCTCTCATTTTCCTATTTTTCACATGATCCCTGAACAAGAGCTATCCAAAGAGCTGTAGAGAGATTTGTACTATGAGCACTTTTTTTTTTCCTGCCCCCTCATTTGGATGCTTTACATTTATCATAAAAATAAGCAATTTGGGAATTTTTAGTGGCCCTCTCTACAGTGCATGGAGAGGAGATTCGACCTGGCACATTTAGTGTCATCTTTTTAGCCTTGTTGAGCTGCACTTTGGTTCGTAACATCACTTCTGCTGTCACCATGTTGCAGAAAGAGCTGTGGCCAGGAGTGCCTCAAGTGTCCTTGCGCTCTGACAGGAAAAGGAGCCCTTTCTGCTTCTGCCTTGTTAGCACTGTTCCCCCTCCCAGAATAGCTCATGGCTGTCGTGGCCACAGTGCAGTCTTGTTTACATTTTTTTTTTTGTTTTAATTTTTCCCCTGTAGTTTATGGAATTTATAAATCATATTTGAGCTCACTTTGAGTTTCAAGAAATCACATAGATACAAGACTGAAATTCTCTTTTTGTTTGTTTTCTGAATTCAGTTTCTTAAGTTTTCCATCATTCATGACGCTTCCTTTCTGGGTACAGATTATTATCTGAGACAACTACTCCTGGAATCTGTTGCTCATAACAGCTTTAAGCTTAAAAACAAATATTGCTGTCTGAATCATGCTCCTATTATTTTTGTGTTAGAAAAACAGGAGTTTCTGAACTACTGCCCTACTGACATTACAGTGGACTAGGATATCAAATGACGAGAGACAAGTTTTAACAGCCCATCACAGGCAGAGGGTATAATATTTAGACTAATTTTTCAAGATCAGTTCTTTGGACCTCCTGGAAAATGTGTTTATTAAAGCCTTTTTGAGCCTTCAGCTAAAGTTCTCATGCAGCTGTTCTGTTACGAGGTGCTGGCACCACTGAATTGAAGGCAAGACATCTCAGTAGTCCTCCCTGTCCCCAACAGTAGTTTCTCTTGGGAAATATTACCCTTTTCTGAAATGTTAATTAATAAGAGCCCTTAAGTTCCAAACCTTAATTTCTTGTTGATAACTTTCTTCGGTACTTCAGGTAAGCAGAAGCATCTTCCTCATGGATTAAAATGGTACAGGCATAAAAGTAGCTTTTCCTAAAGATGTAGGTGGTGGGACCTAGCTAATAAACATAAAAATAATCCTGCAATCCAGCCCTTGCTTTGTGTGGACCATTTAAAATAGCACCAGCAAAGAAAAAAAACCCTTCAGCTCTTCCCTATTCCAGGCATCCATTCAAGGTTGGATACTAAAAAGAAACAAAATAAAAAAAATGTACCATGCTACAAACCAAAGCTTTTTATCTCTGACTTGCTCTCTCAATACCAACACTCTTCAGCACATCTTCTATTTGCCTGTACTTTGGGGTTCTTGGTATTCCTTTTTTTTTTTTCTTTAATTTCCTTTGTGTCCCACTGCCAGGAGTTCCCAATCTTTTTATACATGGTGACTCAACTGGGGAAATCCTACGCCTGAAGAGGCCTAACCCCGCCAGAGCTGTTAAGGCCTTGACTACCTCAACTGTTGTTTCTAGGAAGTATCACTGCTGTTTTTAAATAAGAAGAACTTGGGTTTAAGTGCAAAGTTTTCCTCTGAAAACTGTTTTTCCCTTTGAAAAGTACTTTGGGAGGCAAATTTGCCCATCTCTAAAACTGATGCTGACCAAAAGGCAGGCAGCAGAGAGCAGAGCGCGGCCTGATTCCAGGCACTATCATACTGGTTTCAGAGTCTCCCTTGCTTTGAGGGAATATTCCTGCATGAACAGTGCTCAGAAGAAGTTAGGACTGGGTTTCAGGTAATTCCGTGCTACCTTCATCCAGAGAAGAAAAGCTGCAGCATCCAATATAAAAAGAGTTTAAAAAAAATCTGGCTTGAGGGAGGGTTATTTTTAATTAAAACATTTTGAGCTACTGCAAAAAGCATATTTGACATATTTTCTCAGTACACTGTTTGCACATGTTACACCATTTATCTTTGTCTTAATTGTTTTTTAAAAAGACTATTATCAATACACTACCTTACCAAAATCTTTTTATGCACAGAAGAAATTAAAATAAGGCCAGAGATTGAACAAACACTACCTGTTCCAGAGTGTTTAAAGTTGATTCAAAGTACCAGTATCCTTTGGCAGATCAACATGATCCAAATGTCCAACAGAAATAGTTTGCAACCAGGCTGTGATACTGCACGGTGTTCGGTAACCAGCTGCTGACAGAGTTGCTGCTTCTTCCTCGTTCCGACTTGAAAAGTTAATTATCCAGGGTTGGAGGCCAGTCAACGTCAACAGACTGGAAGAGCAGGGAGGAAGGAAAAAAAAATACCAAGTCTGCTGATTTTGCCTTTTCTTTACGTGTGTAAAGAAAGAGACTTGCTATCAGAACTCCGTGCTTGTCAGCCATAGGGTAATAGTGGAAAAAACAGTAAATAAAGGACACTAAAACAAGAGAGATGGGACAAGACAAGCAGGAGCTAGTGGCATGAAACAGCCGCCTCATTCTGGTGGCTCCACAGAGAGAGCTCTCTGGGAGCTGGGCTTTCTTCATAAAGCAAAATCACAACTCCTTGTACTCTTCCTTCCCAGCACCGTGTGATGTTGGGCTGCCTTTACGGAGTGTCCAGAACTGTTAAATAAAAACATGAGCCACCTCTCATCTTCTGCCCATCCTGCAGATGGGCCGTTATGATGTGAAAACAACCAACCTGTTGATTGATGCCACAGAAGTATTCAGGGATGGGGCAGTAGAGGCAAGACTCGAGCAGAAAACCATCACCTGTCCCCAAATCTGCCTCCTGAGCAAGGAAAACTAGACTGAAAGAATAAGCTGTCAAGCATTCTGCGCAGGAATTATCTAGGCAACAGCATTAACAGTCATCCTGACTGTCAGTCAAAAGGGACAAAGCATACCTGATACTTTATTAGAAGCAAATGTCGTAATTAAGACAACTTGGATTATGTCTTTCTTCCCTGGCCTCCTGGAGGCCGCATCTCCAGTACCCTTTGGGCATTAACTTGTTGCTCACCCTCTTTCAAAAGCACAACACCCTACATTACCACAGATATCACCATTTGCAATCGCAGCACGGGGATTGCCACACAGCACGTTAAATGCCTTGCCTTCAAGACTGCCGACATTAACCATACCTATTCCTTGCCTAATCTACAACTTCATCAAAGGATTAGGCTCTTAGGCTGAGCTCAAAACCATTATTAGCAAGATGACTAATTATTTTCAAGTCCCTAGACATCTTTCACAGTTATGTCCAGTAACTATAGTGACACCTATCCGTATGAGAACAATGCTTATCAGCCCAAGCCCCAGGTCAGGTGTTCCTGTTTTCAGAGGTAACTCAAGTGCCCTTTGCAAGCTCTTCTCCTGTATTATCCTACAGAAGATACACAAAAAACTGCAAGTCTGTCCTGCCTGACGTAACGCATGGGCAGTTTTCCAGAAATACAGGGGAACAAATGTGCTGATCGCTGGCTACTTGAAATGAAACCCCAAGTTTTAAATAAACCTTGCCAAACCACTAAGTTAAAGATTAAATCCATATCTCTATATACATTCTTTTAACCAAAACAAATTTTTTTTTCCAACTGACTCCAGCAAGTGAACAGATATGATTTCTTGCTGTGTTTGAACCGGCACTGAAAGAGGAAGTCAAATCTCTCCTATTTTTCAGCCGACCCCATTTTGAGAAGAAATGATGTGGTACACGTAACATTGCTAAGCTCTGCTGCAGTGGGTGCTAATAAGAAGCATCATCAATTCACCGTATGCCCCCCCCATCCCTCCCAGACACGAATTCAGCAGAAGCAGCCTAATCTCCAGGAAAGACAAAGAGCAAAGGACTTACTTCTACATCCAACTCCAGAATGTCGGCGGTTCTGTTCAGTAGGGAGCCAATGTTGGGCTTTGTTCTTCCAAAGTCTCCATGCACAAATTCTTTAATGTAGCTAGAAATACTGGCTAAGGGAAGGTGCATTTTACCGCAAAGAAATCAAAAGAGGGAGTGGGGGAGAAAAAAAAAGGAAAAAAAAAAAAAAGTATGGTGAAAAACAGTCAAAGCAAAAATAGCGTCTTTTTCTCCTCCTAAGCCGATTTGCAGTGAACGTCCTGTTAAGCCCATATCCATCTTTAAAAGACATCCTAATTCTTGGCTTCTGACTGTAATGCCAAAACCTGCATTATCAACCTGTATTTTCTGTTTTATTTCAAAGCGAGCAGTGTCTTTATAACAAGACTGTTAACTTGTAAGCAGCAGCAATCTACAGTATGCATTGCAGTGCGTTAAGTATTGCGGAAAAGCATATTTTTTCTAAGGTGAAAAGTTTTCAGTTAAATTAGAAAAAGCTTAAGCGTATCTTTAACCAGTACATTCTTATAGCTATCACATACTTTAAAACTATCAGAGCAGTCATCGCAAAAATACACACACAGGTAGCATTTTTGAATGAAAGCCTGAATGTGAAATTCTGACATAAAAGCAAACATTATGCAACAACTTATGACTGCTGAAGAGCAAGGATTTAGAAACACCGCAGTGATAAAAGCAGGAAACTTCCCATTACCCAAAGTACTCTAATCAGCAAGCTGTTTTGTAAATGCGTTGTGTAAGGGCATCTAAGGATACGTTCCTGCTTGAGTCTTCAGATGCAGGCGAAAATGATGCTCGTCTATGTACTCAGCTTTCATGGTGTGAATGATCCGACATCTTACAGCTAGAGGCCTTCTGTGAAGAACCCGGAGAGGTGTCTTCTGGTCAAGTTTTAATTCCTGTTACAAGAGGTAACAAAATAAACGAGGAAGGAAATCTGCAACATACTGTACAGATTGTAAGAGTCATATGTATTGTTAACCAATCACATCTTTTTTATATTGTATTATGGTAGTTGAGTAATCTTCTTGAGGCAAGACTAATTTTTTCCATGCTTATCAAAGGAAAAAAGGACAGCCATCTCAAAGGCTAAACGAGAAGGCCTCATATGAACACAAACTAATGGAATCACAAATACAGAGGAATAACCTTGAAATCTCCATAGTCCTTTGCTGGAATGACTCCAGGATTTAGAAGCTCACTGAGAGCCTCAGGGCAATCAAAAAAAAAAAAAAAAAAAGAAACATCCCACCCACAAAATGCTTTGTCTAAACTACAGCCAACCCCCTAGAAATAAAAGTGGAAAAAAAAAAACTGAAATGAGATTAGATCTCGTAACAGTCTTTAATTCCCCACCCCCTTTCCCAAATGAGACACAGCAGTTTGAAAGGCAACTTTTCAGGAAGTGAGTGGGCATGCTAAAAAAAAAAGCTTCACGACAGTTGTCTCCCTGAACTGTAATGGCTCAAGCCCTCGCTTTGAGAATGATTTCATAGACAAGACCCATAGGAAATGGTGCAACGCAACAAAAACTGAACACACTTCTCCATCAGCAGTATCTCTCTGACCAACATCTGGAGAAAGTTCTCATTAACACAGCGTGCTTGTTACATTGAGCAGTTTGTAAGGCCTCCTTGCATTATTTTCCATAGACATTTCAAACTCCTAATTGCTGCAGCTGTGGAAGAACGGCTTTAGAGCCTGCAGAACAAAAGACCTTCTCCAGTCCTTTCACTTACATAAAACACTATCTAAGGTAAAGAAAGGAGCGCAGGTGCCAGATTTCCTCCTCTCCCATTCGCTACTTTTTATTATTTAGTCTACTGGAAGGTCAACATTATACAGTAATTTGTTGTCTGGGCTAATGGCCAGCCAACGATATTGCTAGCATGACAATGGTGAAGGAAGTATGAGAAAGGGGAGGGAGGTATGAAAGCCCCTGTAGCGAGAGAAATACTGATGAGAAAAAACACCAAAGACAGACAAAGAGAGATGTCCATAGGTGCACGTATACAAACTCTCCCCTAAACACCAGGACAGGTACTATATAAATTAGCAAAAGGAGCTACAGATACCTTGATATCATCTAGAAATGCAATATCTTCTTCCTGTATCGCTTTGTCTGTCCATATTAAGGCGCTATAGCTCTTTGTCTTTTCCTCTTCACCTTCCTTCATACGACCAATTGCCTCTCTAAACAAAAGAAATTAATTACTCACATAACATAAGCATAATCATATAATGCTGTGAGCAAGAATGCTCACAAAACTCCCAAAGCGTCACTTCCAAATCCCTTACCAGTGATGATAAATACTGACCTGGTGACAAGCTGTAAATCTCGAACCTGTATTTTGTCTGAAGACTTATTAATTGTCTGTGATATTTAAAAAAGAATCAGTTAGCAAAACTGCTCAGTTAGGGAAGAAACACATGCTTTATGAGTTCCATAAGGTGCAAATGATTTACCTGCTGAAGTCCCTTCATTTCCTCAGCAGTAAAATGTATTCTACGAGGATTCACAAGCTCAATTGCAAAGGGCCTTCCTGGCAACACGCACAGTCATAAAACATAAAAACATGTTGTTCTAAATTAACATTTGAATTTATGCAGCAAGGTTGGAAGGTGTGAAGATTGTCTGCTGTTATGCAAACAGAGGTAAGACTTGCGGGTTTAGGGATGCAGCATCAGATGGAAGGAAAGAAACAAGGGACTTTTTTTGGCTACTAAACCCCAGTATCAGCAATAAGTGCAAATTACAACTTCCCAGAAGACATCTTGTACAAGTCTGTGCTAATTAAAAAATAAAATAAGAAAAAAAAAGTTAATTAGCTTATTTTCTGTCACCTACAGCAATGCCCAGGTGCAAGATGATGTTAAATCCCGCTCCCTCAGCTAAACATCTGTTGCAATAGCTGCGCTTTCCGTGCTCAGGGCCAGGGATGATCCCCAGTATAAGCAGTGCCAAGAACTACACTACAAATCAGACAGCAACTGGAACACATCATTGTTAATTTTTACCTTTTCTTTCCCCTCCTCCTTTGGCTATAGTAGTTTCAGCATATTGGAAAGCAACTGACCTTTAGAAAGGACCCAAGTTCAAAAAGAAAATAAGGCTTTCCCACTCCCTGGTGACAGCGAGGCAAAGTAGAAGGACCCAACAGAAAAAAAGGTAGGAATCAGTCTGACATAAATGGCTTAAAAATAGGAAGTCAATAAAATTAAATACTCTTAACAAGCTATGCATTTCCATGCATCTGTGCAGCCAAGGGCACTGAAAAAGTGCTCCTCTCGCAGTTGGCTTTAAGAAACTGTTCAGTCTTTGGGAATAAATACATAAATATCACTAAAATGTTTCTGAAATAAAATTTCAAAGCATGCATAATCGCACACTTCTGCACTTAGCATTCAGCAATATCTACTAGGGTAGCTTTGGTTAATCATTTTGTTTGTTTCTGTGTTTCACAAGGGATGTTCCAAGCCTTACCATTGCCTAGTGTTCTCACATCCACATCTTCTCTTCCAGAGGAAGAAAAATTAAAGCCTGTAACAGATTCGAACAAGGGATGTGAGATTTTATTTTACATTTTTAATACCCTCTACAGCTTTTAAAAAAAGTGAAATATTTTCTTTCTAAACTTATTTGCAAATATACTTTGAGGAGCTATCTTTGTTAAATGAAGCCTGCACTGTATTCAAAAAAATCTGGGGTAGTTATTGTTCATTGCATCAGGTTCACAAATTTCTTGAAGAGCACTCTTAGTTCCTTGGCCTGAAAGTGACAGTGACAACCCTGAAAATATCTGAAAAACAACAGTACCATCCTAAAGGAAGTCCACTTACTAATTCTGTTCATTTCTTAGCTAGCTAATTCAAGTCTATGAATAAAATCAAACTGAGCTGTCTTCCTCCCAAACACAACTTTTTATCCTAAATACACGCAATGGTTTCCGAAGAATTCAGAGAAACTTCTGCTAATCGCACACACCTGGACAAAAGAGGAAGAAAATTCTAGTCCAAACTGAAAAGTAACCTCTGTGTATTTGTTTTTTTCATCTTTCAAGCTACAAAAATGTACTGTTGGGTATTTAGTTTCCTTCATCATACCCCTTCCACCTTTAAGCTTTGCCTGAAGGAGAAATGGGGGACCAAACCCTGCACTAGAGGTAACTTTGCAGCTCTATTCCTAAGTGTCTCTGAAACACTGATGGGTTCAAAATTTTTTCCTCTATAGAGAACATACAGATCGCGTAAAGATTTCCTCAGTTTTTATTATCTCTCATTTCTCTGGCCACATTACAGCAACTAACATAATCATCTTCCGTGGTCATAAAGGTGTATTTTGGTCATAACACCAAAATTTTCTTAGATGGGAACGCCTCAGACCCTTAATCATCTTCATAGCCCTTTGCTGGACTTGTTCTGGCATGTCCACATCCGTTTTGTACTGGGGAGCCCAGAACTGGACCCCGTAGTCCAGACATGTCTCCCCAGTGCTGAGTAAAGGGGAAGGATCACCTCCCCTGACCTACTGGCAATGGTCTTTCTATTACTTTATATCTCTTCTCAACATTACTGCACATGCGCTTCTGGTAGTCACCTACGGTAATTCTGCAAGCTAGGTGTTACATAGTACCTGGTCTAAAGACATGGTCTGAGGATTTTCCCAGTGTTCAGACTAAAGTATCCACTGAAAGGAGGGAGAAGAGGAAGGGCAAGTAGCTGTTTTTTCCAAATTAATATTTAATGTGATTTTTGCTTGGGCCTTCTATGTCTCTAATACCACATCTAGTAGACGACAAAAGATGGGCAGCAGTCATTTCATCTGGATAACCCCTGGATAAGCATTTAGCTTGTGGAACTCTAGGCACGGAAGGAAATAAATTAATCAAGGTAAAAAACATGAAGGGGTCGAAGGCTAGGCAGATATTATGGAACACTGATGGCAAAAACCTTCTTGTTACAAAGTAATTTTATGAATTACCAACAGTTTGGAAGTATGGGTAGGCAAAAATACTACCGCATAAAACCATAATATTTGCATCATCAGATCAATTGAGGAGATCTTTTAGAAAAACAAAGACACTGCATAAAACAAAGCAGTCATCACTTACAGATCATAGCTAAGAAAAGTTTACAAGCTTGGACTTGGAAGGATAAGAGAGGGATAAAGAAACTTTTTTTTCATTACACTCTTGTATTACATTAGTAGCCACTAAGGAAAAATATTCCAGTAATGATGAAAAATATGTATGGTAAAAGATCGCCTAGATACTTACTATCTGCTTTGAATTCTGCAATTAGATGCTCTGAAATCAATTCTTCCACTGAAGATTCCAGCTTTCGCTCCCCATCAATAATCCAGGGAGTCTGAGGTAAATTCCTTGAATATTTGTTGTATCTTCCTGTAAAAAAACAGCTATGTTACCTGTCATCATTATATAGCAATGGACAAAAGCTCCAGTATTGCACAGCACAACACATTTAACTTTCATTGGAGCCACATGAAAATAAATTTATGGGCTTAAACTTGTTTTATGGCAAGAGCATTACAGCAACATGATGAAATGCATGCTGCTGCACCTATGAGAGTTTCAGTATCTGAGATGGCCAGCTTAAAGGTAGACTTGGAGAGCCAGTTGCTGCAGTCATACCTTCAGAAACAAAACTGTATATAGCCTGACACAACTGGGAATGAAAACCCAGAGGTTCAAGTGCCTAGTCTGAGTCAACTTAATTCTAAATGAAAAATAGTATTTATTTTTAATCAGATCATGGTCTTTAACCAGCCTCCCATACACCAAACTAGTGCTATACATATGCCTGTCCACCAAGGTATCTATGGCCCAAGTGAAGAAGCTTCCACGTCCCCCGGTGTCAAGTAATTCAGGTTTCAATCCAAGTTCTGCCACTGTCTGGACGTTTAACAAAACAAACCCAAACTAAAATGCTTTGGCTCATTACAAGGAAAGCCATGTGAGCAAAACGTCTCAATAATAAACTAGCACAAATTTCAAGAACCTTGAAAAGTTGCCATGTAAAGAGATTGCCATCCTCTGACTGATTCCAGTCATAGTCTCGTGTTATGTCACACTAGCATGCCGTCTCCTGTGACATGATTGCTATAAACAAAGAACAAGTCTGACACGGATGACCAAGATGAGCTTTCTTACTGACAGGTTTTATAAGAAGTGAAAATATGCACAAAACAAGGAACTCATTCATAAAGAACAATGAGTAACCCCCCTGCACAAACAAGTTTCAATCTGAAACCTTGCACCGAGAAAATAAAAAAGGAGTTCAAAGTCACTATGCATATTGTACTGTGCCTCTGTCATCTCCATTTCATTGGTTTTTCAGTATCATATTTTCCTATTTCTAACAATGTTTCCTTCTTGCATTTTGATCTGCAGAAAAACCCACACAAACAAATGGGGAGACTGACTAATACTGTTTCACTGGGGCAAATAATGAAAGTACGATGACTAATCAATCAGAAGTCAGCTTCACACTGCTAAATTCTCTTTCCATAAAATGGAAAAAGGAAAATGATATCTTTTTTGTCTCTCAGCTCCCCATTCTAGTGATTTTAGCTTTTGATCTGAACAACAGTGGGTTAAAAAAAACAGAAGGTGTTTCTCGGTTTGACAGCTTCCCCCCTGAACCTTAAAAAAAAAGTTGGGGGGAAGTGTTCAGTGAACGCCAAAGATAAGGTCAAGAGGGCAATACCAACTCCGAAACCATGCTTACAAATTAACATCCCATCTCATTTAAACTGCTGTAATAACAAAATAACTGCACTTATTAGTGCAGTTCTTCTATTCTGGATTTAATCATTCAAAAATTAAAGACAACATCCTGCCTGGGTTTTCTGGGGTTTGTTTGGAACAAGCTATAAACTATGAATTGCAAAACCAGTATTAAATCACATGCAGAAAGCTAACCCTCTGTCTTTCTCCATACAGATGAGTTGTCATAAAACCATGCAACAAAGCAACTTAAAATAAAACTGTGTGTTCAGAAAAGGCTAAAAGACACTGGATAGCTTGGATTAATGAAAAGGTACATCTGCCTAATCAGTAATTAAAAATAAGAAACAGGTATGTATAGAACACTAACTAGCCTGCCATGAGAACATTCACTTTTGCATTTTTTCTTTTCATTTTGCATTTTCCGTCAGTCGGGATTTGTACCATCCTTTTTAAACACAGTATGTTGGATTAAAATTGTGGGACTTTAAAAAATAATCTGTTTGCATATATTTCAATAAGGGGTTGTTTATACATGGGATTAGGGGAAGAGTAGATACTCTTGCAGGCAGGTGATAGAAAAGTTGAATCATCTCAACTCAGTGTTGTTGCATTACCTGTCTCACCCAATTATTCCAGATGCTATCTCTTGGTTCGAAGGAGGGAACAAGAAAGAGCAAAGCTTTCTAAAATTTAACCTTTATTAATCCCGTTAAGACCGAAGGTTTTGGAAGGAATAATATGCAGATAAATCCAGATGGTGAAAACCTCTGAATCCAAATCAAAATCCAAGCAAGTGAACAGTACTGCTGGGAGCTTATTTAGTGCAGAAGTGCCTTTCCCAAACCATGTGCTTATTATGAGGGGACATTATTACAGCTGCAGGATTTACAGGGATAACGGTTTTCTGAAGGAGAGAGCAAGCTTTGACAACAGGGCAAAATTCTTCACTTCATAAAATGCTTGTGGATAAGCCGCCTGAATGAGCAGGGGCACAAAGAAAGTTGTTCTAATCTTCACATCATCCTGCGTTGTCTCTACAAGAGAGAACGCAGTTCCATCTCTCAAAGCAAAAGAAAAACAATGGCAAGGAAAAGCAGGATCTTCCCAAATGTCCCTCAAATATCCAGAAGGGAGGTGTGTGCACACTGGGAGCAGCAGAAGTGACATGCTCCCCTCCTCCAGCTCCTAACATGGGAACCCGACCTTGGCCCCGACACAGCTGTCTGCAGCTCCCACTCCTCTTCAACCATATTCCACCACACAGTCTCCAAGTTTAAATTCACAAGGTAAGAGCAGGCAAATAGTTTTGATTTTAGCATGTTGACCTGTAATGGCTAACTTTTGACAAAATCCTGTCTTCAGCAAAGGAAAGTATAATTTCTTCCCCTTTCAAACAAAGCCCACTCTTAGATAGAGCTAGATTTGTTTCTTTGCTCCTTAATTACAGGAATTAACAAATAGCAAGAATCTTCTGGGTCTCGTGGCAGTATTATAAAGTTATATTTAAGACAACACAGCAGCAAATAAATGGATCACTTTACCAGCCACAAAAACTGCACCATTATTGCACTGAATTTCCAGAGGAACACAGAGGTTCTTTGGTGAACTTGGGGGACATGGAAAATGCCTGTATAAAAAAAGATTAAAAAATTATAGTAATACCAGAATATTGTGAAGCATCACCATAGCAATAATGGCATGAAAGAGGACAACTTCAGTTACACAAAACACAGCCACAGTATAAACTCAGTATTCACATTAAAAGCTGGAACTCTAAGATGTGGGTAAGCATTAAGCAAATCAACACCACCGCATTGCAAATACTTTTGTCCATCTGTTATCTAACATTATCAATGTGTAACACTCCAAAGTGTGCTAATAAGATGTACCATACTATAGCTATAGCAATAACAAAACTAAATATGCATGAAAACTATCTTCAGGATCTGTTGCTAAAATCTTTGCTGGAAATCAAAGAAAAGAGCTGTGAAGACTCAGTGCAATTAAACACAGTGAACTACAGAGGAAGGGTCTATTGATGTCTTCCAACTGCTTGTGATTTTTACCATATTACAGCACTCGGTGTTTTCTTAAAACTCAACTCCTAACATTTTGGAAATATGGGAAAAAGTCTTTCTTGTAAAGAGAAGTTTGCCTTACAAACTCTAAGGTCAAAATACAGAAGGATGTTCCGTGATTTCTAAATCTCTTCTGTGGTTTTGGGGATGTACATAAGTATTTTTGAATGTAAATGATTGGCAATACTGTAACAAACCCTCTTCACTTCTAACTGTTCTAAATCCCATGCCAGCCCAGAGACCTGCAGCGACATACTGCCAAAAGCACAGAGCAGAACTGCAGCGGTCTGACACGCAATTTCTTCTTTGTGCAGCTCCTGAGATAATCAAACGATGAAGCACTTGTACTAATGGGAAAAAGACCATGATTTGTGTCATGTCCAGTTTTTCATCCTCTGGGGCTTAATTCAAGCATTTTAAGATTATTCCTTAAATAAAAGATCTAGAATGACATTTTCTTACCAGAAGATTAGAAAACGCAGCACATTTTAACCTGTACACTAGCAGAATTTAAACAACTACCACTTACCCACCTAATATTTTCCTCTCCATCCTAATTCTATACAAAAGCACAATACTAAGAATTGGTTTCAGTATATACTTACTTGAGAAAATCCTCTTCTTTTATCTTCTCTAGAGCTTTTATAACTGCCATTCTAGTGAAAACAGACTGCACAGTGAAATACAAAAATGAGTCAAGAACTAAGAGAAGCTAAGAAAGGATATGCCTAAGGAAGAAAAAAAACCACCCTAAAACATACACATCATATACACTTCTCACAATATAGATTTTTCACTTGTGTTTTGTGTTTTCTTATACCCAAAAGCAACGATAAATCAGCAAGAACTCACTGTGATCTTAACCTTTATTTTAATATGGCAAATAGCAACAGGTAGTTTTGCCAAAATCTATTCAAGTAACTTTACTCACAACACGAAAGCAGTGCAACTAATACAGCCGACAGATTGGAACATAACAGTTATTTGGTTGTAGAACTAAGATTTGCCCCTTTCTTTCTAGAAGAGACACACAAACAGTAGTATACATTTCCTCACTCTGTTTTTACATGGAAAAAAAATAACAAATGCCACTGACTTTCAGCAGGTCTAAAGTTACGGTCACACTTCCAAATAAACCCACTGCAGCTCCTTAGAGTACTCAACTGCTAAGTCTGCCCTTTGGTTAGCTGAAAGAAATGCTAAGCATATCTTTGGAAACTATCTTATTTCAGATGGTATTTGTATATGATGCAAATGGTCTCAAAAAGCAAGAACAAAAAAAGTAGTGCTTGGGAGCTCAGGTCCAAATTTGCAACATAGATTAAAACCAGCATCCTAAATCCATTAACAGAAACCTAACCCAGCTTCACCATTTTCAAGAGTTAAGTATATCTAAGCCCCAGTTTTTATCTCAGTGACAGTAGGCAGCTAGTTCTTCTGAAAAGAATACTGTTGTGTAAATATCTGGCTATAAAGTTCAAATGTTCGTTCATACTCAGAAGTAAAGGCTCTGAATGGTAGGGCTTGGCAGTTCCCAAACCGTGGAAGGCAAGCAACTTCAGTCTCCTGAGCTGCATCAATTCACAAGGGTGAACTGATAGTAAAAGTAGTAATAATGGTACAATAGTGGCAGGAGCAATGACCACCATCCTCTATGCATAGCCAGGTGCTGCTGTTGATACATCAAGTGAGGCTAAGGCAGAAACCACAAAATTTAGGTTCCCAGAACAGAAGAAACAAGTGCTGTAACAGGTGCGGTAGAATCCTACTTTAGGAAGGCTGAGGACAGTAGAAGGTCTCTAAATGAACGTCCTAATCAAAGCATGATCAGCTATGAGATCAAACCATATTGCCAAGGGTTTTATTCAGTCAGGTCTTGAAATCCTCCAAGGATGGAGCCTGCATACCCTCTTTGCATAGCCTGCTCCTCTCTCTGACTGCCCTCAAGGTAAGAAGCTTTTTCTTATGTCTACACTGAACCTCCCGTTTCAACTTATGTCCACTGTCTCTCACCCTTCCACTGTGCACTGTGATGAGCAGCCTGGCTCCCTGTTCTCAATAACTCTCTGTCGGTACTAGGGGGAGATTCAGTTGCGTCCTCCACCAAGAGTTCTCTTCTCCAAGCTGAACATGGCCAGGGTCCTCAGCCTTTCCTCCTAGGGCATGTCCTCCAACCCCTCGACTGTCCTGGTGGCCATCTGCTGAATTTCCAATTTAATTATGTCTTTTTTGCAAACTGGATTGGGGATTTGGAAAAAACAGTGAAAAATACTGGGTCACAGTTTGGAACAATTTGCTCTAACACAATTCTTGGATGCCTTCAAGAAAGGTGCTCTTTCTAAACATAAACCAGAGATAATAGCACTTCCCTTCCTCACAGAACAGATGAGCTGGAAAACCCTTAAACCAGCAGCAGGTTTAAATAAGTATATACAGCAGATGAGACAGAAATTTTCACTCAGAACCCAGTTTTTATACCACTTCTCTGATTAATACAGCCCTTGAAGCTAGCTTCAAGCACAGCTTCTTTGTAAGGATGAACTTCTGATGGCTCTTCAGAGTCGGTATTTTTTTCCTTTAGATTCCCCTACATCTTGTTGCCTGTGTGGTTTTAACAGCCAGGCCCTGCTGTTTTAACTCCTTATGGGGGACTTCCCCCCTTTTAAAGGAATGCAATGCAGCAAGCAGTGAGTTATAACAATACAATCCTTCTAAAAAAAGACTTGCAATTATTGATCAGGTGGAGTAGAGTAGGCAGAATTCCTGGGTCAGACTGCCTCAGCCAAACGTCAGTAGACTCTTCAGCAGAAAGAATAAAAGGCCTTGCATAGGCTTCTGATAGAAGTTACTTATTTGCCTTCTGATCACATCCACTGTCCTACTTATACCAGTCTCTCTCCAACTGTTTTTTTTATTCTTACATGTCCTCTTTTCTGTCAATGACGGTGTGTGTGCTCAGTGCCTGCAACAAGTGGCAAGGTCCCTTTTCTTTCCTTCCCCCCCACCAGAGGTAGATGGGATAAAACCATTCTGCATGCAGTATTGTGTCTTTCATTCAGATCAGAGGACATGAAAACTGCAGTTCTCTTTCGGCTGCGGACTCTCATCTTCACAATGTGACTTAGCTGAACTGTTTCACCCACAGAGAGCTTGAGGATCATCTTTTATGCTACTTGTAATGCGTGGCAATCAAATTCCTAGATCTTAAGGGAGGTATTTACAGAGAACATTCCTAAAATTATGGCCTTTAGACAGTCTGGAAAATGAACGACCTAAAGAAAAGCACCAAGCGCTTAGTCTCCTAAGCAGAGAAATGTTAACTGAATAAAGGAGACAACTTTCTCTTCAGACAACTGAAAACTGGAGAGATTTCTGATGAAGGAAAACCAGACATTAAACACTGACTGAATACTCAGACAAATTCTTTGTTGTAGCTACTGCTGTGAAAATCTGAATGTCAGAAAAGAAATACAACAATGATGAGATCCTACCTGTTTGTTCTTCGCTGGTTTGAAACAGTCTGGACAGGCTGTGGCTCTAAATACAGAAATGAAAATTAGCTGCTACTCTTACAGAAAAAGAAATAAACAGACAGACAGACAGAGTTGTAAGCATAGCATGTACATGGTCTTTGTACCAATATGTCCAGTATCTCACTTCCACAGCTTAGCACAGAGCAGATTTTAAAATTAACTTTATCCTAAAGCACAAACAGTGGAAGGTGTACGTTGCTTGATCTAGGGAGAAATCATGGAATGAGCTGTGCAAGCGTCTTTTGCTCTGACCAACACTAATGTTTCTCAGCTTTGAGATGGCACGGAAAAACACATAAGTAGTTTAGCTTTCAGTCTTGTCCAATCCTTCTCAATAAATAGTTAATTATAGTACTAAATTAATCATAGTAATAATTAATGTTTTAAGTTCTGTGCAAGATCTGCTGACATCTTGAAAACTATCCTTGCTGTTCTTAGACAATGCACACTGCAAACTAGAGATTCAGATCGCTGCTTCTGGATAGGAAAATTCAATTTACTACAGAAAAAGTAACCCCAGGTGTTCGATACCATTTGTGCTTTGCGTCTTCAAAAGGAAACTATTGGTTGTTTCACGAAAGTGAAAGCCAAGTCAGTGAAACACTTTTTCTGAGTACTGTAGAGGAAGTTGCTGTTCCCATTAGTGGATTTCTACGTACGCAGTTAGAGATGATTTCTAGCCTACAACAGTATTTATCATTTCTCGCTGCTGCTTTTCAATGCCTCTATAACTATTTTAGACTATAAGGAAGCAGGTCTGACCTCTTGCTGTTTCTACACAAGCAACTTTCCTGGCCAGTTTGTGACACAAAGCATCACAAATTTGCTCTTCCGGAATTTACATATCACCTTATGTTTAAACATAAATCAACAAATATAAAGTAACAAGAGCCAATTCAATCTTCTTTGTCAAACCAAAGGTCATTTTAGCACACCTACCTACATGTAACTACATAAGAACAGCTTGAGAGATGAGAAATTGCAGAAGCCGTACTTGGAAATCTCACCCCAAAGCATACCTCCATGCCTGGAGGACTTCTCCAGGTTGAGACAAGGTCCTACTTTGCTTCCAAAAAAAAATGACTTTCATTACTAAAGCTGTGACAATTGCCAAATTTACCATATTTACATTGAAATCAAACCATTGCCTCAGAATATGCCCAGAACCAGCCATTCACACACGCAGAATGCCTTGCCACCTGAGAAACGGCTAATTAAATTAGGTAATACGCTGTTACTTCAGAAAAAAGTCTAAAACCTTAATTGCTGTTTAAGCATGCTACAAAGAGAAAGCAAATAAAGCGATATTGTCAGGTCACATGGAATAAACCTGACTAAGTTGGAATATGGAATGGAACTTCTTTACAGCTTTCACCTCTACAAGTATTCGCTTGGAGTGCTAACATTGGCACCATAACATGCTCGACATCAGTATTTTCAAAACGCCACAAAAAGGATGGAAGGATGAGCTGAAAATAAGAGCTGAGAGGTTTCAGAGGAAGGAAGAGCACTACAGAAAACATGAAGTGATTGAGTAAAATTAAATAAATAAGAACAAAAGGGTGCAGGATCCAGAAACTTTTTATGGGATTTTTTACGGATTGCAGGTAATATTATTTAGAATTGTAGTTTGGCCCTACTACTTTCTCCCCCTTTTGCTCAGAATTGAAGAAGCTGGAAAGGAAAGATGTTCAGCAAACACTGGTAATCAATTCTTCCTAATACCCAGTTCGTCACCAAGCATGCATTCCCTCACCTCCCACCCCAATGGAAGTTGTTGAAAACCAAGTAGGTGTCTGAGTGGGCATTCAAACAAACACCACAAATTGCCAGAAGGGGTAAAATCAGGGAAATATATAAGAAGGCTGCAAAGGAAATCTCTGGTCTCAAGAGATGAAGTCATTATGCAACAGGGAAGTCAGAAATTCTACGCTGAGCCTCTTTCTATGCTAAGATTTAACTTGCAGTAGGAGTGCAAGCAATGAAACTGAGTGAAACTTAGAAGTTTTCCAGGAAGCATCAGCAAACAGGAAGAGTGAACCTAATTATCCAGAATATACTACTGCTAGATTTTGAGAAATCATATTAAATGGTAGCTAAATTCACAGAAATATTTTGCTTCTTTGTGTATAGCAGATGCTCTGCTGGGCCAGGCCAAAAGCCACGTGTAGTAGCCAGAGAACTTCTGTTTGTTTTAATCAACCAGCTAAATTGGATTAACTCACTTCCAAGCCTTCCCTCCCATCCATGTCTCCTATAAGAGCAGGAGAACCTAGGCATGACCTCAAAAGATTCCCCCACCTGCAATTACACGACTTGAATTTATTTTTTAAAATGTTATGGCCATATTGAAGAGGGCAATGACTTTGAAAAGGGCTGAAACTGAACAACTTAGATGAATGTTCTCCTTCCAGTTCAAATCAAAATTCAGGATGATTTTGTTCATTGGCTTTAAAGCACAGAATTAACCAGACATGGAGGGTACAACTTCAACTCTGAAACTCTATCTGAACATGAGGAAGTTTAGATGCAGTCCCCATTCTAGTTTATAAACACTGCATATTCTCATCTGTAGCAAATCCAAACCAACAATGTTGCACAATATTTAGATAAAGATCTTCTGTTATTTATATAAAAACTTACAGGAAATGGCACTCCTCCTCTGTTTCTGGGTGAGCAAAGACCACGCTAACTTCAAACAAACTCTAAATTAAAAAAAAAAAAGAAAAAAGAAAAAAGGAAGGTAATACTTTGTTAAACAAACAGGGAGGATATTCTCAAGCATCCTTACTGTGACATTAGGAAAACAGGAAAGAGGTAGACAAAAGAGAAAGTAACCCATTTATTCTACAAATCATCTAAAGACATTAAAACATGTGCCATAATAGCATTTGCATTTCTGAAGTAACCAAAGATGATCTGAGAGCACTTCAAAAACATGAGTGACCTACGCATCATAGATACCGCCCCATTTTGCACTAGGGGAACTGAGTCAGATAGTGTATGCTCAAAGCCTATTACGGTCACTAAACTTCACAAACCTTCTGGGAGAGTGGTGCATGGCGTGGAATAAAGATAAAAACCCTGTAGTAGTCACCACTGTAAAATTTTGTCAGGGACTTCGTTTGCAATGACTGGATGGCCTTGGGGCAAAGAAAGGCAACATGTCCTAGTGGATTGACAGCTAGACCAGAAACTCTAGTGTAATCTCAATTCTACCCCCAATTCCCTCTTTGGCCTTGGGCAAACAACACTCATTACTTCTGTTATTCAGATACCAGAATACCTCAAGAGGGCTATCGAAAAGATTGGCTAATATTCAAGTGCCTTGTAGATAAAGAGCACTAGACAAGTAACTTTTACAGTACAATGATGTCTGGAGTGGCTCCGCGCCTAAGTGTTGTAGAGCTTTTGCTAACTTGGTATGTAAGAAGTCTGTTTCTTTTTGGATCATCTTCAGGGTAATGGAGCATTTCTTTCTTCATAAATATTATAAAGATAAAAGGGACATTTTCAATTAGCACCCCTGGGAAAAGACAATCTGTAATTATTATGGAAGCTGATAAACCAACATACAGACTAAGTGAGTCTAGTCCTGGGGTCAGTCCTATGGCTGATGACAACTGCAAACTGTACAAGATGATGGTGTTACTGAATTTGTCTGGCAACATCTGAATGTCATGTTCAGTCAATCCATTTCAGAAACATTTTAAGAATGTTGGTCAGAATCTGAAAGTTGAAAACAGGGTTTGAAAAAACATTTCTATTGCCTACTTACAGGTATTGCAGGTTCCAACACGTCCATCTCTAGCATTCATTAAAGTGAACAAGGACCAGGTTTTTCCTCTTTTTGTATGTTTCAGAAATATATTTTATCCATAGAATTGAACATGCTAACAACCTGAACAATTTATCTCAAAGAGCAATAACGGTGTTGGCAGTAACAGGAGAGCAAAGAAGGAATGTGTGAGCATTCCTGAGCCTCTGGAAAAGACAGACCCTGGAAAATGAGAGAACTGAAAAAAGTCTCATTGACAAAAGGAGGATGGCAGCCCAAGAGCAAGAGATCTAGCAAAAGACTATGATGGTTTCAGAAGATGCAATGATCTATGTGTACAAAAATGAAGACTGGATGCCTCACTATTGAGACTTGGAGATCTCTCATTAAAAAGAACTTCCCCCTACAATGAATATAAGAACAGTCCAACTTGTTTATCTGTTAATGAGGGGAAAAAAGTACATATTTTTATTTTTTCCCCCGTATATATGTATATAAATATATATGCACACACAAATGCATATGAAAAAAAGAAAAAAAACCCCAGATTTTTAAAACACCTAAAAGCAGGACCCCCCAACTCTTCTGACAACTGGGGATGAATAATCCACTTATAAGCTTCCTTCAGCTGAACAATGTCATCCTTTGCCAAGGAAAGGTCCAGTTTTCTGAATCACACACAAAGAAATAATAACTTGTACAAGAGTCTGTCAGGGATAGATACATGGCATACAGTATTTCAAGACAAACTTAAGTAACTGGTCCCAGGTAAACAAACAATGCACAAATAAAAAAGGACAAAAGTAGTAAGCATACAGACTATAGCATGAAAGAATGAAAGGCTGTTCCAAGACCACCTATAATGGCACTGAATCTTTGTACAAAGCGTTGAGGAAAAATTAAGGCCAGACCAGGATTCCAAGTAAGATGCTACCCAATAAACACCTAAGAGGTTGGCAGGGAGCAGCTAAAGGTGTGGCTACTTGAAAAAATTCCTGCCAGCACTTGCATGCTGACACTACACAGCATGGTAATTAATACCAGTCCATTGATCCCATGTAAAGTAAACCCCAATCCACCAAAAAAAGCTTTGTTTTTCAGCCAGATGAGTGAGATGATCAGCTCTGTGGGTGGTCACATAAGCACTTATATTAACACAAGAAAGAAAGAAGGTACATGCAGATAGAGGCAAGATCCTTCTGACAGTAAATCAACTTCTAGTTCAGCTTAAATAAACTGAGTATCTGGATCCTGCAGGACAGCACCTGTGCTTGCTAGGGAGCCCCCTATCCAGCTTCCAGCCTAAATATCTTGTTTTGCCCTGTTTGGTTTTGCCAGTGTTTTTTTTCACCAATATTTAAAAATAGATTCTTTTTTTTCTGTGTAAAAGAACATGCACTGAGGAAACTCATGCCATAGCTTCACGGTAGATCAAAAGTTGCAAAAGTCTTTCCAGAGTCTACCTAGAGAGGATCTGAGAAAGAGATATGCACAAAAATACTTTTTTTAAAATTTTTTTTAATTAATTAAATAAATAAATAAATAAAATAAATCGTTAGACTTATTTTTATTGTTAAAAGGGCCATCTAGTCCTTCATTAAAGGAGGGCATGAACTCCACTGGGCACAAATTCCTAACAGGAAAAGCCCAGATGACAACCTCAGTTGACCATGTTAGGACAGGCTCAACTACCTCTGTAGGTACAAGACCAGGCCTCGTCTCCTATGGATAAAGCAATGAAAAGGAGCAGATGCCTGTAAGGATGCCAGCATATGATTTCAAACCACTTCCTTGGGAACTCAAAGCGCAAAGCACGTGTCCTTCTATATAAATGGCACCAATATTGGTAGGCTGTGTGGGCAATAGTTGCCCTACAGGGTCTCATCCTCTCTCAAGCATTTTAATGAAACAATTGCTTTTAAATTAGTCTCAAAGTAGGAAGTCATTCATCACCTTTTAGTCTAGCTTTCTATGAATATCTTAAAATGGTACTTGCAGCCAAGATGGCTTCCACCAAGGACGACTTCAGTATCCTCAACTAACTTTGAGACAAGTGGATTTCTTTCCTCTTGCCCGCAAAGACAATTTATCCATTCAAAATGGCTCTAATACCTTCTCATTTGGCCAGGAATGGAAGTGTCCTGGAGCAGACAAAGAATCAAGCATTTAAATTGATTTCAAAACACTGAGGTATGCAAAGTGAAAAACTAACTTGCACCCACTGCACTAATATCTTTCTTGCTACACTACTGACTTTTCACCATTATCTGACTAACAATTTTCAGTCACTATTCATGTAAGCTAAACCTGAAGAGGTCTACATTCCATTATGTCTTCCATGTACAAGGTTCTGGCTCACAGATGGCATCGTGGCACCTCTTGGGACTATTAAGCTAACTCAAAACTGTACAGTTGGACAGACAGTCTGCACTCCAAATTGAAAAGCCACATTCTAGCTATGATCACGCTATGAAGCAAAAGAGATAGGAAAGACCAATTAAGGTCAAAACAGGTAAAAAAACCAAACAAAACCACAAAACAGCTGCCATCCTATCCTTTGTAAGCATCAAGTAAACTGGACAATATTAACATAATAAGACTATAAAATCAACTTCTTGCCTGCTCAACATTTATATATGCAAATGGTGTCTATATAAAGGAGTTCTTGTCAGACATACAGCAAAAGCTGTGGACAATAAAAAATAATTAAAAAAACACAAATAAAATGATAGCACATCCAAATTATGAATTTCCTCATTATTAGTTTTGAAGGTACAAAGTAAGTTAACATCTTGGCCAAGAACATAGGAAGTGAGTCTACATATTCCACAACTGTTATCAGAAGTACCTTTGTATGAAAGCAACTGTCTCGACCTCGAAAATATAGCATTAATTGCTTGGTTAAAATTTTCTCTTAACATACATGTCTCAGCAGGTCCACTGCATTAAGTGGTTTCTCATTTCTACTATGCTGGAAAAAAATTATAGTAAGAGTATCTCTCCTTTCTCTAAATCTGGAGAACGCTCTAAGAGAAGTGGTATGAAGGTTGCCAAAAGAAATTACTCACCCCATTTCCTGTTTTACCAGCAGCCAAGCAGCACACTATAGGTCACCAGCCATGCCCAGGAAGAAGAAAGGAAAAAAAAAATTGCAAGTGAAATTAAGGCTCAAAACTCCCAACAATTTGAGAGACTGTTAGCAGAAGGAAAAAAGTTTTACAAACTCAGAACAAAAAGGAAATACTAGGATTTTAATTGAGCTTTTGCTTTAGAAGTGGAAAGATAGAATTGGTGTCTGTTTTTCTTTGTAAGACATCACTTTGCAATTCACCTCAAATCCTATCTGGCTTTAAAAAAAAAAGATCAGGCTGCATGAAACGCACTTTGAAACTTGCTGTTAACACTGTAACTAGAAAAAGACTCTTACAGCCTAAGTCAAATACAACTAGCAGTTATCTACCATAAAGAGAAATGAAAGAAAAAAAAGTGTCTAAATGGATGGCATATGAAAACTGATTTGACATATAAATTAAAAAAAAAATCAGTTAGCATCCCTTATAAAAAAAACATGAAATAAAAGACATACTTGGTCTTACAGTAATCACAAACCCTTTCCCTGAGGATTACTTCCTTATTTAAAGCATATCACTTAGTTTAGGAAACATACGCTGAATATTAGAAAGCTGAGGAACAGAAGGAATAATTCTAGAAATCAGAGGGAGCTTTTAGTACAAACGCTCGAGTTCACTAACAATTATTTATCACACAGCATACGTAGGGATGGCTGGAAGATGTGATCTGAGAATCATGGGCAGATTCAACCTTGAATTCTCCTTTTTCATTTCCCAATTGCCCCTCTGTTGCTTTGTGCAGATTCTCTATTAATACCACCTTCTGCAGCTCCTGATACACTTCCTTGAGTGGAGGTTCCAAGAAGTAATATGTTTTACATATGTGACCATAGGATAATTCAGGGACCTTGGAAGGTCGCTATCCAACCTTGTGCTTATAGCAGGATCAGCTATGAAATCAGACAAGGTTGCTCAGGGCTCTGTCCAATAAGTTCTTGAAAACGTCCAGTAATGGAGAATGCACCACCTTTCTGGACAACCTGTTCTAATGCTTAATTGTCCTCAATTCATGCATTGTAAATACTTCCTCAAACTCTACTCTTCTCCTCTAGCAGCCTATATATGTAAAGAAACATAATGTAGCAGGCCCCTTAGATACAGCACCACCCAGAAAAGAAGATTGTGAAACCATCCTTTAGGTGTCCCAGCCAACAAACAGAACTCATCAGTATAAGAATTAACAATGGTTGTAACAAAGGTCAAAAGCAGAATTAAAATTACCATTGGTATGAAAGGACAACAGAAAAATACAGAAGTAAGCACAAAGGAGCAACAGCCATCGAATCAGTGCAACACTAACAGACCCGAAAAAAACTAAAAATGATCAAGAAATTGAAGACTTCCAAACGACACTGTTTATGCCAAAAGCATATGTTTCCCAAACTCTGCTCTGGGGAGCCAAACATTTTAGAGGTGCACCTCTTTGCAGTCTCACTCACTTCTCTTTGTACTGACATATTGATTCTACAAAATGATCTTTTACTTCAGCATAGTAATTGTTCAGCACTTTAGGCTTTAAATTTTGCCTCTGTGTGGACCAAGAGTGACTGCCATTCTCTGCAACATGAAAACATACCTTACTGAATTGAAGTGCATTACAGTTAACCAGAATTTTAATTTTGACCTCAAATGGCCTTTCTATAAGTTCTTTAATTAAGTGGGAAAAAAATTATGTTGGACACAAGTATTCCAAAGACCCGTACAATGTTTCCATTTCAACAGAATGCTTATCTGTGCAAAAGCAATTAGTAAGAGAAAAACTCCCCCCAAAACTTCCTACAATGAAGGAACAACAACAGTAACATTCTCAGTTCTTCCTCCACTAACAACACCACCACAATATGTTAAGACTGGCAGGATGCCACTGAAGTAATAGAACCTGTACTGTCAATACACAGTCTGGACACCTAGTCTCACCATCCTCACTGAAGATGAATTCCAAAACCCAAATCGTTTGGCTTGAAACAACTACAGTGAAAAAAATCAAAATTAGTTTTTAATCTGTGGACTGCATACTACTAATACAGTGTCAGAGAAAGGTGAGTCTATACGCTTCTCATACAATCATATATACAAATGCCTAAAAGAGTTGGTATTTCAAAAGCTGTGAAAATCACTGATTTAAATTCTTCAGAATTTTAAATCCCTTCCCTGGCTTTGAGAATGACCTCCCCCCAAACCCTGTTGAGATGTCTATCGTCAAGGAAATAATGCTAATGAAGAGGTTTGAAAACATGTATCAAACTTAAAGGAGCAGAGCCAGGATCACATCATCTTTTCATTGATATCAGAAGTAACCACATCACAGATCTCTTTTACACGCTGATAGAGGAACTCAATCAAGAAAATGTCTATTATCCTTCCTTTGGTACATCTAAAGAATGAGGGAATCCTAAAACCAATGCTAGAAATATTAAGGAGAAAGAGGGATGGTGGAGAACACAAACTTTGTTAGATACATGATACACAAAACAGCACACTACTGAACAAAATAAATGTAGTTGTATTGATGGACTACTGTTTACTCAAATTCACTGTGATTCACTACCCTGCATATGTAGACAGTATGAGTAAGACTGCTTCACAAAACAAAAAAAAAAATCTTGTTTGCATAATAATCCAGATAAAACAATAAATAAAAATAGTGTCCAATTGAAATTCCTTAAACATAATTCTGAACTAGAGAATATGACAACCACAGAACCAGGTCTAGAAATCTGCGTTTGACAAACGTCAATTTAAAAAAAAATCTCATATGCCTTGATTTAAAGCACATGTAGGTTTGGTACTCAGTCGGGTGGCTCATCTCGCTCCTTTCCCCTGTTTTACATGAGTACAGTTACAAAATAGAGAAAACTTCTGCATGTAAGTAGCTATGCTAAAATGAGACCACAGGTCAAATTTAATCTCCTCTCTCTTGACTTCAAAATAGAAAGAGAATTAAAGACATTACTTTTCCCCTTCAATTAAGAGGAAACAATAGATTAGGGTACTGTGAGCACAGAAACCAAAAGATCCCAAATTCCAAATCACATTCAACCACCAAGCCAGCCAAACCTCTCCCCGCTGTGTGTGAAGCAGGGGATCAGATCCCTCTACTTCATAATTACTTTATGTTTGTGAAGTGGTTTGAAAATGAAAAATGCTCATTACAGAACTCAAGCCTGCAGGGCAACGCTTAACAGCAAATATATTTCTCAAATACACTAGCTCAGGCACTATATTGATTACAAGCTGCAGGATATTATTCTGATGCTATCTGAGGGATCACAGTGGCAACAGTTGAAATACCATGTGCAATCCCAGCCACGGCATTTTTTTCACTGTATTAGAAAAGAGCTTCGAGATGGGGAATTCCACGATGAGGTATACGCAGTCCTACAGGGAGTAATGACTACAGATGCTATTTGCATCAATGTCCTTGTAGCAAGTACCAGGATGATGGATCACAACTGAGACTACACACATAGCTAACAGTCACCCTTTTGAAGGGCATGACTCACTTCATATTCTAATATAGTTGTCTGACACAAACTTGGGACTCCTGTATTTATGATTTATTTTAATCAAATATCCTACTTGTGGAAAGAGGTGATAGCTTCTTTGCATTACAGGTACAAATACTATGCAAATGTAAATTTTATGTGCCACTCTTCCTCAGCTCCTATCGTACATTTTAGACTTGGCAGGATGACAACTGTCATAATTAAATTAGTTGAAGGTAATATTAAAAGGCAGTTTCTAATTTTTTGTTGAAAAGAAGTCAGAGAAAACCTGCGTGTCATACAAAAGGTCAATGGGAGGGAAGCTGTCTTTGGGGTGTCCTTTTATGATAAAATTACATATGTTCTTGTTAAGTGCAGTTCAAAGAATTAAAAGCAGCATTTAACAAAAGACCTCTTTTCAACACAGAACATTTTGAGATATTTGAGATATTCTGACATATTACATTACTTGCTGCTTTTCGGTAACTGTAAAACAGGAACTCTTTTTACCAATTATTTTTTGAAGTGATGAATGGATAGGTGGTAAATAAACCCCCATGATTTTAAAGAGCTTCTTTCTCCACCATCACCCATTTTCAGCCCTTCAGTTAAAGCACAGCTACACAAACATCTGGTTTAGCATTTGGCAAGACTGAAGGGATGGAATAGAAGGGCCAGCAGAAACTTCCTAATGCAGACCTGCTCACAGATAAACCAAAACTGTTTCTAAAGAGAACAGATCTGGTTTTGGAGCTTCCTACTCACCCATCTCACTCCACCTATTCATTTCTGGACCCATGTAACAACTTTATTCCCTTGGTTGTACCAAGCACTGTAGTAGTGTTTGTTTGCTTGAATAGAAGGACAAAATACTTCGAATGAAGCAGATGGACAGGTTAAAAATTACATCTCATCCCTCTTATCAAACCAATAATTTATTGCACTTAGAAGACAAAGTTACTATAAAGTAATAAATCTGGGTTTCTACCAACTGCATTTGCTAAGTCAGTTTTCCCAGTCCACACAGTCTCAGTGCATCATCAATATTTCAATTGGAAAGAGGAACTCCCTGAAGCAAACTATTATTTTTTGCTTCCATTTACAGCCAAGTCTGCGTCCAAAGCAGACAGAAACACTTGCTCTGCTTGTTCAGATTAATGTGAGAACATCACTGAGCTAGAACTGCAATGCAATAACACCCTCTACCGAGGCATTCTGGCAAAGACCCACAAGGAAGGTGAGGAAGAACAGTAACATCAAATTTTTCTTTCCTCACCTCCATTGTTATATAGCTATGCTATGGGGAAAAAAAAACCCAAAACCTAGTTATTTTTAAGCTAGATAAACTATAGCTGTCAAGACAAAGATGCATCATGGAAATGTATTAAGAACTTGACAACACAGGAATTGCAGCTGGGACTCTACCCAAAAGATTCTGTGCACCGCTTTGGTTTTGCTCATTAAGGCTATAATGAAGAGAGTAAGGGAAGTCTCAGAAATGGCTAGCAAAGGTAGACTGGAAATGGAAAAGACCTGATCAATAGTACCCTAAAAATAATAAGGCTCCTCTTTTTTTAAACACCTAATCTTACACCGGGCACAAAGTTGGAGTAAGTTTGACATATATTTGGAGTTTCACGGGGCATCACGGGCACACACGCATGCATCCATATACTCATCTAGCCTGAAAGTGGGTTTTGTTAACATATCTAATTTTTTGGATGACCATAAAAATCAAATGGGAGTCAGGAGAGTTCATCCATTCAGAAAGCACAAAGCAATTTGTTCTGGGATTATTTTACCAGACACAGTGACAGCTGAAGCAAACACACCAACTACACTTAATTTCAGATGGGAAGTAGAGAATCTTATGTTCAAGAAGACTTAGAAGTAGCTATTACACTGGCATTAGCCCAAGGTGCCAGAACTAACAGTACAAATCAACACTAAAAGTGTAGATTATTTAACAATCATGCTATGTGGGATGAGAACAGACCTCACCACAGGTTCATATATAAATCCAAGAAGACCTACACTTCTTTCTGCCATGTTCACTACAGCTTCTACTACATACTACCACAGCAGGCATCTATTGTAAAGATTTATATATTGCCCTTTAGAACAGTATTTTTGCAACATTTTTTATCAGAAAGCAGGGGAACATCGTAAAACATCTCACAACTAAGCAAAACCCAGCATTTTATTGATCAAGCTATACTATGCTTAGCATTGTCCCTCAATTAAAAAAAAATAATTACCAGGGTTATACACCCCTCCATGTTATCATTATCTTCTGTAACTAAATGACTGAAATGTAAACAATTTAAGTTTGATTAAAATTGCCAGGAAAATCAGTAATTTTACAACTGCTAGAAACTAGTTTTACAAATCTAGACTTTCAACAATGCCCAGGACAGGTGACTATTAAAATGTGTGTTTTCACATCATTTAAAACGCTGAACAGTTAAAGAATTCGTCTCCAAATTCCTTCATTTGTATTCTGCACTACCAATTATCATTTATTTCAGGAAAGGCACCAGCTGTGCAGTTCCTTCTCCGAGAACATCCACAAAGCAGAGCTGGCATCCGCACCAAAGGGAACAATACACCAAGGGTTTAAAGAAACTCCTTTTAGGTTTTCAGCTGTAAAGTAACTCCTGGGCTAACTGAAAACTGAAGTGACTCAGACACTTTGTTAATTAAAATAATACTCACCAACAAGGAAGGGGAGAGCAGACTTCACTTCTAGCATGTGTTTTGGGTTTTTTTAAACAATAGCAATTAAAAATGAAACCACCTCCAGCTTGTACATTCCACAGTTACTTTCTTTAATATGCATTTAAGTTATGAAGAAATACCTTCAAACACTTACCTCCCTAACAGACAGCTGTGGGGGAAGTGACACAGAAAATACAAAACTAGTGAACTGGTAGTCAGCGGAATTAACCTTTTGGCACACCTGTAAGAGAAGGATTTTAATATTAAACCACAGCAATGGAACCGAGTTGATAATCTTTTAGGATGTTCTTTATTCTAGGGTAATCACTGTAAATCCATGTTAATGGATTCAGATAGATGCCAAACATACAAACCAGAGTAATCCCTAACCATTTATTGAAACATAAGCTTTTTTGTTCTGTTAAAAAAAGAAAAAGTTACTAACAAATTGTATCCATATTGCTATGAAACAACTAAACTTTTAGTGCTAGGACCAACTATATACCGAAATCTTAGTGCAATGAATTACACCATAGTGACCAAAGGCTAGAAGAGACGACTTGGAATGCCTTTCTTTATGGCAGAGACACAATTCTGTGACAATAAAAATGCTTAAGATCCTCAGATAAAATGGAAACAAAAGGCATCCACAGTATTAATTCATAATCACTCTTTGCCGTAAAAAATCATGTTTGTCACTTGAAATAAAGTAAGAACCCAAACCCACATCAAACATTTTAAAGTAGACTAGCGAGAGCTGCTGGCTGGGTATCCCTACTGGAAGCAAGCTTAAACACACATGGAGAAGTCCAAAATGTCAGTGATTTTAGTGAACGTTAAAGACAAATTCTGAGCTTTCAAGGTGAAATCAACATCTCAGATAAGGATATTTCCTTATAAAATAATCAGGTTTTGCAGTGCCTTAACAAAGGCTGTCAGATTTTCCATTGCTACTCAACTCTGACACAAGTCTTAGAAGTGAATTCTGTAAAAATATATATACTCTGACAATGGAAACAAAAAAGAAACATCATGCACTGCAAGAACAGAAACTATATACTGTGGTTTCTGTTTAGTCTCATTTTTAGATATATTCATGCTATGAAACCAAATTCTTTTCTATTAAAATTCTCTTAAACATCTTAAATGCACGTGTGATTTTTCTCGCTGATATTTTGGTTTGTCACATAAGCAATTTTATTGCTCAGAGATGATGTTTGCAGCACTCATTATGCCCATATTCTCCCCTAACTCGTATTTTCTCCATTATCTACAATCTGTTGCATCACCAAAACATCTTTCTTTGTGGCTTTCTAAATAGTAGCACACTGTAAAGACAGACGCGTGCTATATTAGGAACATGTAGTTAAGAGCACAGCAGTTGATGTCTCCTCATTTTCCCTTCACATAAAAAAAGTGAAGAGAGGTCACCATTTACAGTGAGGTTTTCCTTGTAATCGAAGCAGCTGAACCTCAGGTTATCTCCTAAATTCACATAACCACTTAGTCCTTTGCGTAGGAAAATGTGCTCCTAGCAGTCATTCCATTGCACCTGCGCTGCTATTTTTGTTGACAAGGCCTGGGTAAAATATGGTCACACCGCCAAATTTCATTTCCCAGCTGCACAGGAGGTACGCAACGCTGTCAGTGAGCGGTATGTAGTGGAATGGCGCCATCTGCATTTCAAATAGCCAAAACAGGTGAATGTTTCGGTTCGTTTTCTGCTGTCTTTCAATTGTTTAACTGCATCGTGTTTTTAATCACCAGCTCTATACTGTAGGCCCCAACATACATGAGCTTCCATAAAAGTACACATAAAGATTAAGAACTGGTTATTTACCTTTTTAACAAAGTCAACCTCGCAGAACTCCTGAAGAATTCCCAAACACACATTGCAAACCTTCACAGCTGAGTTCTCTGTTGCAGTATTTTCATTGTTAAGTGGAGGAATCTGCTGGAGCGCTCCATTGTGGTTCAGATCATCAGACCCTTCTTCTGTGTGTTCAAGTCTGATTCTCTTACAAGGTGGATCAACTACGTCAAAACAAACCGTATCTTCTTTTTCTTCATTATTTTTCAGAAATTCTTTTAAATCCTTCATCAAATCCTAGCACAAACAGAGGAATCATACTGTTGGCTTTATCTCTTTTTTCCAATGGTGTAAAAAGCACTTACAAACACAATTCTAAAAGGCAGTACTAACCATTCCAGTTTGGTCTTTGTGTATGTAACTAGTAATTTGGACTTTATAACAAAAGACATCTACACAATTAAAAACCTCCAAGCTGTATTTCTCTCAAAATGTTATCCAGAGAAATTGAATTTTGCTAAACAGACTTATCATCCAAGAAGAGTGAAAACATTTGACAGACCTGACTTGCAGAAATGCATTTATCTTTGGCCCCATCGCTATTCAATGAAAACAGATGTTTATTGCCTTTTTGTCATTTAGATTATGTTAGAATTTAATTCCTCCAGCTTCATTAGGAAGAGAGATGGCTAGTATAGTATGAGAAGAAAATGAAAGCAGATACAGGTGAGGGTGAAATAAAATACATAGAGGAAGAACTTCATATAAAGAGAGAAGCCTAGAAAAACTAAAAGATGTGCTGGCAAGGAGAGAGAAGAATTACCTGCATGTCTCTGAATTTTAGGAACGGTGAGAGATAGAGGCAAGATATCATTCACAAAGAAAGATTTATTAAAAGGTCTTCAGTAACAAAGACAGCAGTTACTGTGTTGTTGCAATTCAGAGGAAAATTAGGTAGAAATGCAAAAGGATAAAAAATGGCATACAGAATGAATACTTCTCAAATGATTGATAGAAAATGGAAAAGGATAAGGAAGAAAGATGGTAAAAACTAATTTCAGAGAGTCTAAACTTGAACAAAGGTGAAACAATCAAGACAGATACCAGAAGATGCAAGCATAAAGACAAGGGATTAGACCAGGTAAATGGAGATGTTTATTTGGCTTACACAGTGAGAGAGGTCTCAAAGAACCAGTATGGAGAAGGAGCAAATAGCCCAAACCAAGTTGAGGAGCATCAATACAAGGGCAAAGGCAAGAATGATTCTGCACAGCTAGGAAAATTTTGAAGAACACTGCATTTTAGCACTAAGGTCAGCTAAAAAGGATGCCGAATAATACTGTGTTTGACTGATTGAAAAAGGAAGATTTATCCTTAACCTGTGCTCTGCAATTCTTCAGTTACATTCCCCTACCAATTCTACTGAAAGAAGAGGAATTATGAGGCAAAAAAGTTTGGAGCATAGATGGCTCATCCTCTGCATCCGTTGCACTGCCCACCGCCCCTTTACTACTTGTTACATTAAAGGAAAAAGAGCAGAGGGAACAGTCACAGCTGCTCTGCTTCAAGTCATAGCGCCATGCTGTGCAGAAGCTAACATGCCCTGGTTTCTGATGTTTTCACAGAATACATAGCAACTTTCACAGTCAAACTTAACATTTAACCCACAACAAGTGTTATATTCTATGATTCTTGTAATTTCTCAAAATTGCACAGTGTAGCAGCAGTCATTTTTCACTACTCATTCTGCAAAGCGTTTTCCTCTCAGGCAAAGAGCCCAAGAATACAACCACCTTCTCCTCCAAGGTAGGGCAAGGAACACTGCATTCATACATTCACACATGCTAATTAGGAATACAAATAACGAACCTTGTATGGACGTCTATAAAGTGTCTGTGATCCCACGCAGCAGAACCTCAAAATACATCGTGGGCAAGTGCCAGAGCTCAGTAACAGCTGAACAATTGGTCTGTCCTTTTCTGTTAGTGAAGACATCCTGGGTAATTCTAAAATTAAAAAAAAAGAAAAGAAAAAAAGTTTAGAATAAACACAATTCAGCAATTCAACAGTAAAAGACTCACTCAACTGCACCATATTTAAAATCACTGGACTTTTTTTTTTGTCCTCTAGAGAAAGTTCAGGATGTTTGTCTTAAATCAAAGGGACAAGAGAATTGGAAGACCAACCCAAAAAGACTGCTGACTTGGGAAAAAGCTTTTGTGTTTCCTAGAAAAATCTGAAGAGTTCTGACAAAGGCATGTTGAGCTTTTGCCCAGAGTTTTATCTTTGATAAAGTGCATTACATGACATGTTACTCTTCACTGAACAGAGAAGACAGGTGGAGCTAAAACATACTAAACCAAATGTAAAATGGAAATTCTCTCTAAAATCTTAGTAACTAAAGAATCATTCTCTTAAAAGTCACAGGAAGAAAAAACCCCCGAACAACCAAAAAACAGATGCCATCCCCTTTTGTCATACGAAGCCCTAAAGGCAAAAGAAGTCTTTCCTATCCGTTAGCACCTTCATTTTTTTTGAGATTTCTTACTTCTTATCTCAAATATAGGACCACCATTTTTGTGAGAGATCTCATAATGCTTTCCTAAAAGATTATGGCAAATTTGGTTTTCTGTCACTCTCTCTGCCCAGAACTTTAGAGCAGACTAATTTCTTTGGCCTAAATTTAATAATGGGATAGAACTCTCAGCAAACTTAAGTTCCTGCATTTTTTGAAAAACATGGAAAAAGAGAGATTCCCAGTAAGGTGCTCACCCTTACTGGATATCTAGGAAAATTTAGGAGGCACAAAATAATCACCACAGTTGTTCAGACCAAAGGTTCAATTAGTCTAATGTCACCCAAAGCAGGGATAAACAGATGCCACAAAAAAATATGTGTGCAGGGCATCCACCTCTGCCAAGTGCTCTCTGCCTCCAGTTATTTTTGGTTTGGGGGATTCATTTGACCTAGTGTGGTTTGCCTGTTGGCAAACTTTAACAGATCTTTCCTCCAGTCCTGCTCTGGTGTCTCTTTGAAATTCTTTTGCCTCTACATCCTTTGGGAAGGAATTCCACATGGAATTCCATAATACCTACTGACAGATGAACCACCTGATTTTGTTTTGGGCTTAGCTCCACTATGCAACATTTGATATTCCCGTTTGTTATATTGTAGAGGTGTAGAGACAGGATATATTGGTGTTCTCCATATCAACCACAGACCATTACACCTCTGATGTCCTATCCTACTCAGGAGTACATTGCACAGAAATATCTTAGCCATGGAAAACTTTCACAGCAGGGGAAAAGTTCTTAATTCCATTAATTTAGTTTCTCCTGGATTTGGATTCTTTATGGTAAACTGTAAAAACCAAGGACTATCTAGAAAACTTCAAACCGGCTTTTAAAATGAGAAAAACCCACACTTCTAGGTAACTGCTAGCTCGATTCAGCTTCATGAGACTTATTGCCACAATGATGTTTCATGCTCCCATCGTCTGAGCCAAGAGTTTTAAGAAAAACAAAACCAAAACCACCGAGAAGCTCCTTAGAAACCTTCCACTTCCACAGGCGGGTTTAACGCAGGCACCGGTCT